TATATTTTGATATATTTATATATTTATACATTTATATATTTGTATTTATATATTTATATATTTATATTTATATATTTATGTATTTATATATTTATGTATTTATATATTTATATATTTATCTATTTATATATTTATGTATTTATGTATTTATATATTTATGTATTTATATATTTATGTATTTATGTATTTATGTATTTATATATTTATGTATTTATATATTTATATATTTATATATTTATGTGTTTATATATTTATATATTTATTTATTTAAATATTTATATATTTATATATTTATATATTTATATATTTATATATTTATGTATTTATATATTTATGTATTTATGTATTTATGTATTTATGTATTTGTATATTTGTATATTTGTATATTTGTATATTTGTATATTTGTATATTTATATATTTGTATATTTATATATTTATATATTTATATATTTATATATTTATATATTTTATATTTTATATTTATATATTTTATATTTATATATTTATATATTTACACGAATTAATATAAGTATAATTTAGTTGTAAATTATTATTAGAATATCCTAATAGTTTAGTGGTTGAAGTATCAGTTTTCAATTTTAAGGTACTGTGTTCGATTCTTGCTAGTGACAATTTTTTTAGTTTAATATAATTTATCTACGGATAGTAATTCCGTAGGTAATTACCTACGAAATTACCCACGGATGATATTACCTACGGAAAATATCCGTAGGTAATGGATAATTACTCACGGATAGAATTTCGTAGGTAATATCCGTAGGTAATGTACACTTTACCTACGGATAGTATTTATGTAGGTAATTACCTACGAAATTATCCACGGATTACATTACCTACAGATAATATCCGTAGGTAATGGATAATTACCTACGGATAGAATTCCGTAGGTAATATCCGTAGGTAATGTACAATTTACCTACGAATTTTCATCCGTGGGTAATATCCGTAGGTAATGAATAATTACCTACGGATAGAATTCCGTAGGTAATATCCGTAGGTAATGTACAATTTACCTACGAATTTTCATCCGTGGGTAATATCCGTAGGTAATGTAAAATTTACCTACGGATTTTTATCCGTGGGTAATATCCGTAGGTAATGTAAAATTTACCTACGGATTTGTATCCGTAGGTAATATTCCGTAGGTAATAGGTTTTTTTTTTGTAGTGGTCGCCACGTTCCATGTGCACGTTCCTCAATTTTTACCTTAGCTTACGGTTTAGAAAACCTCATCCACGTTCCATGTGCGCTTTAACCGTTTCTCGATTTCTAACCTTAGCCACGATTTGAAAAAACCACTCCCCATGTTTCCATATGCATGATAATCGTTTCCCTCGATCTTGATTCCAATTGTCAAGTATGATTTCCCTTAACCTTGACTTTACACTCCATACTTTATCATCGATTTCTTACTTTCATCGAATTTCATCTATCTCCCGTGATCCAGGTTTGCTCTGTGATCTAGGTTTGATATTGGAGGCGTCTGTTGTGTTCCTAAATTCTGCGCATTCCCTGAATTCTGGGGTGTTACTAAATTTTGAGACACCCCTAAATTTGGGGATACTCTAAAATTTTGAGGCATACCTATGGTTTGAAATGTTCCTAAGTTTTGGGGAATTCTTAGGTTAAATCTCGTACTTCGTTGTATTGAAGAAGCACCAACCCCATTCATATAATTAAACGAAAAATCAGGCGGCCTTACACTCATATGCGGACCTGCATATGTTGTTACAGGGTTTCCCGTAGTTTGCATATTGTTTGACATTACAGTACTAGACCCTAACTGAGTGTTTGCTAATGTGTCTGGACTTTGTTCAGTACTCATAGGCATCGACGTACTCACAGTTGTCGATATTACAGGCATATTCCCATTGTGAACTTGCCCCCGAGTGTTTGGTGAATGTGAACTATTTAAAATCTCACTGTTATTCTGATTATTTGGTGAATTTTAACTCATTCTTATTACTCGCCCACTCCTTAATCTCATACACTTTCGAACTAGCCAATTTTTTGTGTTTTTCGACACAACTCCCCCTACCTAGCGCGTCAATTTGTTTCTAGTGAAAATTTGATCGATTTCGATTTCTTAGGTTCTGATCAAATTTCAACCACATAGATTCTTTTCACTCAGGCTAGCGACAATTTTCAATCAAAATGTGTATGGTAATTGAAAATGTCACAAGATCGAGAAATATTATCGATGCAACTGATCATACAAATTGAAAATCGAAAGTGCTCTTTTTGGTATTTTATAAGAAACGCGAAGTAAAGAAAACAGTAAAAAGTATCGAAAAGAAAACAAAAGCAGTGCGAAATATTAGAATACAGGAAATTGTAAATACGAAAAACTCAGAATTGCATTAACTGTAAATGACAGAATTAAAATTGCATGAAAGTAAATGACAAGACATTGAAATTGCAGAAACGGTAAATGACAAGCATTTGAAAATACATAATCTTAAATTGCATTAAAGATAACTGGCAAGTAATTGAAAGTATGGGAACTTAAATTGATGAATGTAAAATGCCTGAAAATAAGTTACCAGGGAAAGTAAAGAAAGCGGTAAAAACAGTCAATGAGAATGGAAATCCAGATCGCCAGAAACTTCATGATTCGTCGTTCTACGGTAGACTTTTCACTTGTATTTCTGTTCTCTGCCAATTTCCCTTTCTTTTTCAAGCTTCGTTCTATTTATAGGCATTCTTCAATGTAACCTCCCAAGAGCAGTTAAAAAATTGTCGTCACGTTCCATGTGCACGTTCCTCGATTTTTACCTTAGCTTACGGTTTAGAAAACCTCTTCCACGTTCCATGTGCGCTTTAACCGTTTCTCGATTTCTAACCTTAGCCACGATTTGTAAAAACCACTCCCCATGTTTCCATATGCATGATAACCGTTTTCCTCGATCTTGATTCCAATTGTCAAGTATGATTTCCCTTAACCTTGGCTTTATACTCCATACTTTATCATCAATTTCTTACTTTCATCGAATTCCCTCTGTCTTCTGATTCTCGATTTCTATTCTCGATTTATGTGTTCACACTGTCTGGTGGTCATCGAATGTCTTCTAACAACTTTTCCGATTTATCAACTTTTTAACCAATCATATGATCTTCGATTTTCTCTTTTTCATTTTTTCGATCCTTGTATCGATTTTTTACTAACAGATTGAAATATGATCGAGTTTTAAATTCAATATACAAGTCTTTATTTTGCATTTAAGTTGAAGGATTAACTATGAATCTTAACCAATTTTAAGGATAAAATAATATATTACTAATAAATAAATATAAAAAAAATAAAAGAAAATAAAAGAAAGAGATGATAAAATTATAAATATATTAAATCATCATTAAATTTGGAAAATCAAAATTATAAATTATATAAAAATTATAAAATTTTAGGAGTTTAATTCCAAGAAGATATGTGATTTTAGGTGGTATGAATTCCAAGACATTTAAAGATCATAAACCCTTAAACCTCATAAATAAATAAACTAATTAATTACCATAATTCTTACCCCTATTAAAATCAAACTATTTAATATATATATATATATATATATATATATATATATATATATATATAATAACATGATATTAGAATTTAAGTTCATGGATTAAACTTGTAATAATTTAAGGGATTTTTAGGTTTAAGTTAAAAGACAATTTTCTATTCACTCTGGTCTAATAAAGATTTTTGTAAGTTTTTGCTAGAACATTCTCGAATTAAATTTGAAACTTTTGCTTATTATTATATGGATTGGGAAGGTGACTGAACGTGAAACTAGCCCGCCTAACTATGTGCTACGAATTTAATTGATATCAACGATGACATTTATTTAATATTTATGAGATTTTCATGATTTTTCTCTATAGAATCATGTATTATTTGTTTTCTTGTTTATTGAAGAGCCTTGAAAATTTAGATGCACATCAGATTTGGAATTCATCATTTATTTATTTTTGTTTTTGACACAGGAATGTATCATTATTATGCTTTTACATCCGTTTTAAATCCAAGAAATCTCAAAGAAGGTAGCGCCAACATTGTTTTAGGACAATCTCTACAACTTGTTATAGACAATAAATGTTCTACACTTTTAATAGACCATTCTAGTTGAGCCACTGATTTTATATAGAAGCTTAACAGGAACTTATATTAACTTAAGGATTTGAAGCATAGATAGGGGAAAAAAGAGGCGTTGCAGCGCGTCGATTAGGGGGCAATAAAAGTATCGGAGGTTCTCATCACTGCAAAAATTTCCGAAAATCTTCTGATATTGGTCCATTTCTGGTGTAATTTATGATTTCCTTACAAGCAACTTCAGCTTCATCTTTTGCCAATAAAAAAAATCCCCCTATTACTAATAACTATCGCTTAAAAGGATCCACTCACTTTCTATAGTCTGGTCCAATTCAAAAAAGCTCCACTACATATTTTCGTTGTCGGTCTTGTATTGTAGAATATTTTTTTATGCATTTTGTAATAATGTTAACAATTTTTATTCGAAATAAAAAAAGTACTTTACATTTAAAATATCCTTTTACACTTGGAAATATATAACAACCGCGATGAGAAATTGCTTTCCTTGCAAAGTATGAAATGGTATCACTGCAGAAGTACAAAAAAAACAAAAAAAAAAAGTGTAGTAGTATCATTACAAAGAATACTTTCTATTTGGTTGCTTGGATCGCGATCATCTGACGTATTATGTAACTTCCAAAAATCAAAATGTCAAACTTGACGGGAACAAAAAAAGAAAGACACGACGACTACTGACCACATTCTCCCCAACAATGCTGTCTAGATCTCATATTGCGGCAAATCTCCTATTTTGTGTTTGTTTTTTTACCTTCACTTTTCTAATTCATTAGAAAAGTAATATTATTTTTCAGGTCGTGGTTGTCCATGTTTGTAGTTACACAATGAAGAATATTATGTACCATTTACGTTTACGCCAGAAGACGGACTATCTTATCTTTCCAGCTTCATTGTTCTGGGCTTAGGCTGAGATACGACAGCTTTCTCTTGTTCAGTGAGTGCATGGCGGAAATGGCATCTGTGGCCATATGGGCACACAACTCCAGCAAGGACCATCCTGCAGACCTCAGTTTTGTAGCGTGGATGGCGGATGACTGGGCGAAGCTCCCCAATACCGTGAGCAAATTGGCAGTGGTCTCCATATGGACATGTGCCAGTTTCCTGCCATTTATTACACAGCTCAGTTTTGAACATCCCTTGATTATACACTACCATTTCCAGAGGCTCTTCCTCTTTCTGACCTCCACGCACATATACCTTCTGCTGTATCATTCCATAGCAACATATGCAAAAATATCAACAACAATCAAATAGCATAAATCAACAAAAAAACATAATAAACAAAATTTCCTCCCAATTTTTCATGTTGGCAACAATGGACTCTAGATAAATAGATTTTACCTTCTTTTTGTTTTTAATATTCAAATGACTAAACTCCTTTAACTTCAAGATATATTGTGGATTCGAGTCCCATTATAAAAAATTAATTAAAGTTTGTCAATATATAGTTATCTAGATTACATGCCCAATTATGCATTTATATTTCGTGATACACGTGCACGGTGCACAAACTAGTTATATTTTCCACTCACACACTAATTATGTTAACTACTAAACTTATGCTTCTTCATGTTTTTTGCTTAAAATTTTTCATCAGATAATAAGTAAAATATATTTTCATCAACTTTACTCAACGAATTGAAACTAATAATGTCATCTCACGCTAGTTAGTTACGAATTGTTGTTTATGACTATTAAAACATGCCAAACCTTTAGCAGGCTAACACAGAATTACAGATCTAACATGACTATCATAAATATTTTAAAAATTTAGACATGTAAGATAAAAGAATTAGTGGACGTTGTATGGCTAACAGTCTTGCTAATTTCTATATATTTCAAAATTCGTAGAGGTTGTGAAAAATAATTATTTGACCCCTACATACAATGCTAAAACTGTAGGGCTCCTTATGAAAATTAATCTTACTGATCTGGGACATGATACCCACCCCGCAAGAAAAGGAAACAACGGGAAAAGTTAGAACCCCACCTAACGACCCTAAAGCCCAGGATATGCTAGCCACCACCCACCAAACAGGTTACAACTGTCACAGCAAGGCTTGGGCTACTCCTTTGCCTTAGAGCAACTTGAGCCAATGGGTCCTGTGAACCCTAACTAGAGTTGCACACTTCCAAAACAAGCACACGCCAATGAAAACAACAACCAGAAACTACTCCATTCCTTGCAGATACCACCAGGTAAATGACACAGACAAGCAAGGTTTTTACTTGTTTTGAAAGGAAAATAATTAGCAACTAACAAGCACGTCAAGTACGGCAAATAACGATAAACGCAATAATCACATCTCAAAACATATAGCAATAATAATATTAACAATCATTAAAAAAAAAATCCAAGCATGTAGAGCTAGCAGGCACGTGTGTCCTTACAACGGCTTCAGATGGAGTTGCGGTGGCGCGTGGGCGAGTGGCACCTTTATTGCGAGTTGCATTATTATTGGTGGCAAGACCAGCAGACTGAGCCATCTTCAAGTAGCCATTGGATCTCACAGATATGCTCTTAGGGAGAGAAAATCTCTCCACTTCCACAACGTTGTTCTCCATCACGCTCGTTGGACTCTCGTCCGAAACTTCCTGCAGGTCCTTACTATTATTATGATTCATATTGTTGTGATTATGATTATTGTTGTTATTCCAATCGGCATAATTCTCTTTCCCTTCCCCAATGTGGAGGCTGCGGAAGCCATGCAAGACATCGAACAGCGTCGGTTGAGTCTGGCCAGAGGACCCGCCGGCTGCAGCGGCGAACTGACTCTCCAGCGAAGCCTGAACGACAAGGTGCAGCTGCCTCTGCAGCTCCTTGTTCGTGGCTCGCAGCTGGCCGTTCTCCTGCCTCAGAGCATCCACCTCTTTGGAAGTCTCCACCAGGCGATTCAGGCACATGCTTTGACGGTTCACCATGTCCTGGTGCTTCTGAATTACGCACGAGTCATACTGAGTTGTTGACTCGGAGTACGGATAGAGCGAAACGCCGCCGCCGCCGCCGCTGCAGTTAGCGGAGAGCGACGGATGGTTTTCGTTCGACAGAGCTGAGTACAGCGAACTGTAGACGCCCCCGGTTGACGGCATTTGACCGGCTGCGGCAGCGGCGCCGAATCCGCCATTGGAGGAGGGAGAGCAAGCGTCCTTATTAAGCATTTTTCTCGATGCTGCAAAATCAGACAAAGAAAGTAATTAATAACTAATAACTAAAAATAATATCGGAAACGCGACGCGATGATCGATCAATTAACTGAATCGTTTGATCGAGCATTACTTAATTCATGTTTATATTCAGATCATACAAATTTGATAATTGGTTGGTTAAAGAATCACTTTGCGCGATCGAAGAAAACGTAGAACTAAGGATTATTCAAGAAATGTGGATGAAATTATTGATAAGTCGAACATGCAAATTACTTTATTGGGAGAGAAATTATAATTGAATTAAAGCAGCTACGGTTCAATGAATAAACGGAGAATTTCTTGAAAATCACTGACCTCGCTGCTGGCTCTGAGCTTCTCTCTAGAGTAAGGAGGTTTTAGAAAGAGAAAGCGATTTGGGAGAGAGAGAGAGAGGAGGAAGAAGAGGTTTTATAGTGGTGATGGTTGAGGCGAGTGTGTTTGGTGCGAGGGAAAGAAAGAAAGAAACCGTCTCTGACACACTTCCTAACAGAACGCTCTTTCTGAACTTATTCAATTTTCGTGCCTTTCCCTGATTACCCCTACTCATTTCAAAAGATCTGATGAATCTTTTGAGGATTGTTTTGGTATTTTAAATTGCTGTGTTTCTTAAAACTAAATTTCGTGCTTAAGCATTCGCCATTGATATACTTTCTTTTTAGTATATGTAATAATAGTGAAATGAGGTTGATGTTGGTATAATTTATCCATAAGCATATGCAAAGATAAAATAGAAAATAATACAAAATTAAAAAAATATAAAGAGGTTACATATTTGTTTTTTACAAATAATTCATTTTATTTTATTTTCTCATAGAAAATAATTATGGAGAAATTGTTTGTATACATTTTTTTTTTGGCTTTTTACTGTAGTACAATCTTTTTAATCTCGTTTTAACTCAATCAGCAATATTTTATCTACTACATCATTTTTTTTTCATCATAATTTATGTAGAATGTAGCACTCAAAATTGATGAGATGGCAATTAGTTGAACCGGGTCTTCCACACTGACTTTTTATTTCTTTAAGCGCATTATACATTTTTAAGAATTCAAATCCATGAAGGAAATATGGTAAAAGTTAGTTTGATTACATATACAAGAATAAAATAATAAACACGTAGAATGTTTATTTGTTGGTTTTGAAAACTACTGATATCAAAGTGATCCTTAAATTTATTTTTATAAATAAAGGACATCATCAAATTGGTCATAATAAATAAGAAATTGTGGACAAAGTTGAATGTTGAAAGAACTAATGATACATGTTTTAAAAACCCTTCAAGTAAAAAAATAAGAATTGCTTAAAATTACATACATATAAAGTTCTAAAACTACACACGCCAGCACCTGTAGTTGGCAAAATCAAATGTTGTAGGTTGTAACTCTAATCAAAATTGAATCACATCAACTTCCTACATCGGGGGTCCACGTTGAATGATTTATTCTTCCTTTTGAACATACACATAAAAAGAAATAATATTTTTTGGTGCTAACAGAAAGATAATAAGAGGCCAAGACAGTTTAGAGGGCGTATTCAAGGTGCAGTTGCGGTTAGAGCAGCATTTGATTATATAATGCTTGAATTTGAAGTTAGTGTTCAACAAGGGTACTGGCTGGTGGTCTAGGTTTTTGGTTTCCCATTTTCAAGTCATGAAATGGATTAAGACACTCTGACATTCATTTAGAACAGAAATATAGGAGCCCATCATGGTCTTTCTATTTGGAATTGGAGGGAGAGGGTAGAGAGATTGCTTCTTTATCACATTTACAACAACCTCTTCCTCTAATCGCTACTCCATCAAAATCTGGTATCAAAATGTTTGTTGAATAAAATCACACTCATCCAAATAGATCCTCACGTTAATTTCTTTCTCAATGGGCAATAGACAAATTCCTTCCCACGTGTCATGGTTGTTAAGTTAGCCACACAATTCTTCTCAGATATTATCTTTTCATAAAACAACAATGGTCAGATTATCTTTCCCTTTCATTACAGCTCTGGTCACACTGCTAAAAGCTGAATTAGTTGTTCTTAAGTTTTATCAAGGTCTAAAGACCAAATCACAAATGTCCCTTTCTCTACTACTCTCAATGCACAGAGCTGCAACTGAAAATGTCTGCTTGTAGTTGTAGAGCATAATCCTTAACTTTCATTGAATTGAAACATAACTGTTGAGTATAGGTAGATTGGTCTGTAATAGGGCTTAAGATGGGTAACATTTCAAATGTCAAGAAAAATCCAAAGGGGTTGACTCAACTTAACTATCAAGAGAAACCAAAACAAGTCCCTAGATCTGCAGGTATAGCAACAAACATGACATAAAAACCTTATTTTCCATGGAAAACCGGCAGTTTTTATGTATGTATATAGGTTCTTTTTTTATCAATATAATCAAGAGAAAATATAAGAACAAACTTGCTCACGCACTCTTTTATACATTTCTTTTTTCATTCGAAATTTATTGAAAAACACACAATTTGATGAGTCTCACATGAAATTTAATAAATCTCTTACTTTATACTTAACCAATAAAGGAGTCTGTATTGCAAATTATGTCCATGGTTTTAAGTGGATGTTATACGATACCGCACAGGAAATGAGTAGTCAAGATTATTAGACTTTTAACAGGGAGTAAACTCAAATTTGAGAAAGAATTTGTTCATATTTACATATTAACTATTTCAATAAGCAGTAGTATTATATTATATACTTTTACAATATATTATGAACAGACAAAAGGCGAGTGAATCAATTAATCATGTGAACAAATGCTTTATGATGCGGAACAATCTGGAGAGTAGAATAGGTAAATATATCTGCAGCATGAATATGCAAAAGTCAATTGCTTTCTGTCTTAGCAATGCCTTTCACTCTCTTTCTTACTTTAGCTCCAGGTTTCCTGGATAGAAGTCCAAATTGCTTCTAATGCCTGGAAGCAGAAAGAATATAAATATGATAAAAATTGATCAAATACACACACACACACACATATAATATATATATATATATATATATATATATATATATATATATACCAGTTTAATAATATTTCCAGAGACAAAATGCATTATTGCTGGTAATAGATCAATGTCGTACCAAAAATAAATTCAAATTTTCAAAATTGACAATACTGAGATGAAGATCCAAAGGTGTGTCATAACTGGACGGCATGTTGAAATTACTCAACTAAACATAGGCTAAAGTGAGGCACCTAGCACTTAACTCACAATTGAGACCTTTTCTCTTTATACTTCATATGAAAATTCCTCTAGGCTCCACATGTGCAATCTTCAATTCAATTTAACTACCTGAATAAGCCTTCCCTTCACTGTAGGGAGAAAGGGCACTGTCCTCATGGCCAGTGATACTGCTTTGCGGACTGAATCTCAAAACAGATAGTGGAATAGTTGAATCAAATGGTTGAATTGCACGCGTAGGATCCATGCTTTTTGGACAGTACGGGCTGAGAGGATTCATATCCTTGTTCTCATGATCAGATTGGGAGATAGTAACGGATGCAGCTGCTAAAGAATCCTTTCATGACAGAAAAACAAGGATACCATTAAAAAAGTATTTTATTTTGGGGACAGTGTATCTTATTGATGTTGTTACCTTGACTTCTTACACCCTATCTCAATCAATTATGCATGAATACAAAATCAGATGATTCTGATGAAGATCCATTGGAATTAACATTAAACCACAAATTGTGTTGTTAATTCTAAAGCTTACTACTATAAAAACAAGAACAGGGAGCTCCAAAACATGCGCACGGTATACTAAACATTTATGGAACTAAATCATTGCATCACATGGAAGGTTACAGTAGTCACCCAATTCTTCTTTTATGGTATTTCTTTGAACTGTTTTATGGTTATAAATAGCTTCAGAAATCAACATATAAAGTAATATTTTACAACGGTTGCTGAAACTTAAATTAACACATTTTCAGTATCTTTGGTACCTTTGCAACCTATTTATGTGTCAGCATGTTTTCCAAAGAAATGCGTAGTATAACCAAAACAAAAAGCATTTACACCAATATTTTTCATGTCTAAAATTGAGAGTTTCACATTTCCCCTTTTGATGAAAGAAGTCATAAGCCACTGAAAGGAAACTGCTGGATTGCACTTTTTCACGCATAATTTTTCTTTTGCATTAACATTGTCCGTAGTCCTTTAAAATAAGTCTTAAGAAAATTAATTTCTGTTATATTCTGCTCAAGTTGATATAAATATTATGATGCTCTTCTGTTATCTTTATTGTCTAACGTAGCTCTTCAACTATCAATATACTAAGAGGAAGTGAAAATATGTTGACTATGAAGGAAGAAATTCAGACCTCCATTGCACTTGGATTGTCAATATCTGACTTGTCGACTGACTTATCCTTCTCCAAAGAAGAGCAGGATACATCTTGATCATCAAAGAGTATTCTAATTGGATCTTGATCTCCACCAAATAGTTCATCAAAGTTTTGGAAAGTTAAGTCAACATCAGGGATGTTAAAATCATCTAGACAGACAAGTTCTTCACATATCCCGAGGTCTTGGATATTTTGGGACCACAACTGCAACATTGACAAAAAGAAATTTCCACTTTGACAAGTATAAAAGGTTAACCAGATGTTTGATACTGAACAATCAATATAATAATATCAACCAAATTGAAATGAATCAGAAGCAAGGGCGGTCACAAGCACACAGCAAAACATGTGTCACACTACCAGATGTCTGACATTCAATTCCTCATTTCTTGTCACTGACAGAGATTGGGAGGGAGGTAATAAAGTTAATACGCCAGCATGTTAAGTTTGAAACCAAAATTCCTAACATGTTATTATACTAAGTTTAGAAACCCTATCTAAAGCATGTTTGATTTGGCATTCTTCCAACCATATTCCTGTTCAAGACATTAAAAACCTGGTTGAAATTTGTTTGGATGATGTTCCATTTTTTTCAGCTTCAACCCAATTTTCCTTTTAACTAGGATCGGCTTGCAAGAAACAAGTTGAAGCCTTTGCAATGGAGGACCTTCATTGTTCGAAAACTCTTGAATGATATTAATCTTATATAATGAAACTCATAGCCGTTTTAGTAATTATACATAAAATCACTATTAAGATAAAAGTATTCAAGAATAAATCATGTTACTAAAAACTCACTTTTCACCATAACCAATTTGGTAAAAAATCAAGGTGACTCACTCAATTTTGCAAACTCTAATCCACCTAGTATATACTCCTGTTTAATTTCTAGCATAATATGCTTTTCTTCTTATGTCTGGTTTTTCTAGACACTTAACATAACACTGTAAACAAGTATTGTTTTTGCTTTTCCAGTTTGTCTTTTCAGCTCTTCATCAGTATGTAATTGTGTTTGACCTTGCTGGCTACACAAGGCATCAACACATGGTTTTTTTATTAATATGTGATCAAGGAAATCCAGACATGTATAACCAATTATAAACATTAGAAGCTTATTATAGTATGAGTTGATTATATTTCAAATTACATTAAATTATGATTATAATGTAACGGAAAATGGGGAGTTACGATTTGTAATAACAGACGGAGGGATTGTCATCGATAATTTCAGAAGTTAGGATTTAGTTGATTGAGAATTTGGATATCTTATCCCTAGCTAGATTGTGGTTTTCTTTTCTAATATAGACAAGATATACTTGAGTTTTAAGCTTGTTGCTTGTCTGATCGGATTTAATGCCCTTTGATTAACCTATACTTATACTACGCATAAGATCTGTCTTCTTGATGATAGCTTATCCTTGATAATTTAATATCAAATATAGAATTTTTCAATTGCTTTTAAGTTTATCCATTGGTTCTATGCTGCCATTCTTCATCATATTCTAGATATATTATCGAGGGATGTACACAACCTAGTGTTCTCTTTCAAACTGTAATTGAAAAAAGTTGTGATTTATCTGAAACAATTTTTGCATATTTGTGTGTACATCTTCATATTTTCACGTAACCAAAGCCATGCATCCCATCAAAGTAAATTGCAAAATAGGAGAACAAGTTAGCAGCTCATACTTTCATATCTAGAAGAACAGTGGTTAAAACCAGTGGTCTTCGAAGTGGACAGATGATTTTCTGACCTGATTACTTCGAAGTGGACTTTTGCATGCCCAGAACAATTCTCCATGCAATGGAAGATCGATAGTTGATGACGAAGATAAATTATCAAGTTGAGAAAAAGTAGAAGGTAAAGTCTCAGTATTCAGCTCCACAATAGGACAGTCTTTTTCCAGAACATTAGTTGCAAGATCCTGGGAATTTTGTGCTTGCCCATTGAACTTTTCGTCCAATTTCTTAAGAGTGTGATATACTGAAGGAGATAATTTTTTTTCTTTTGGCTTATTGATCTTCGCAGAATAATCCATCTCCTCGTTTTGTTGAAGCCATTTTAGATCAATAATCTGCTGCACAATAGTTTGACGCTCTTGATGATTGTACAATATCTGGAAGACAATATTGAATATTGAGAAGATGTATCACATTTTAGCTTTATCAAAAGCGGAAAAGAGTAAACCATACGGGTTGCATTTATACGTTTCTATAATTTTTGCTAATTAATTAGTCATGTATATTCAAATTATATTATTTATTGTCTTGATTTATTGAATAAAGACTGGAAACAAAAAATAAAAAATTTCACAATTTAACTAAATACTTAGGGATATATTTTACATTACACCTTATAATTGTTGTGTTCTGACCATGTTGGTGGGTCTGATACACTGAGAAGGGAAGATTAGAAACTACAGAAGATGTTACAAGATGAGGTTCACCAATATTGTCAGAATATGTTGCAAAATCCTAAATTTTAGAATACACTAACCATTGGATTTGCTCAAGATTAATAAACCAGTACTTTCTCCCATTTATCCAATACAAGAGTAACCATCAAATCAATTTCCAAAAATAAAAATTATTAATTATGTTACTCCTTGGGATTGTTAAAGGAAATTTTAATCCTTAAAACTAAGGATCCCTCCATTTATTTTAGTTTCAGTGTCAGTCATTTTGGTTTTCGATTGTAAGTGTGTATCAGTCAATTTAGTCTCTCTTAATTGTGTATTATCAGTCAGTTTGGTCCCTAAATGCCAAGAACGAAATTGATTGATAGTTATCAAATTAAAGGACTAAACAGTTGTTGTCAAATTCAGGGATTAAATTACTAATTTTATAATGTTAAAGATCAAATTAACTGTTGGAACCAATTTGAGGGACTCAAAGTAAAATTCAGGATTAAATTTGCTATTTTATAAAACCAGGACTACATTAATCATTACCTTTTAATTTTCGGAACTAAATTATCAAATACTCTATTATTGCATCAATTTCAAGGAAATTGAAAACATGTAAGTGTACATCCTGTTCAACTCTTTACCCATAATAATCACTCCTTTAATCCTCACAAACTCTGGAAAGTAAACACGTAAACTTCTATATACATGTAGGTGCTTTTAAGCTATGGCTTTTATGGGTTAATTTTTTTAAAGTCAATCACTTCATAAGTACCGCATGATTTATGAGATAACTAGAGCCACTTAAGTTTATTCAAATGGAAAACTTTGGCTACATAAAACTAAATTTTATATCATGAAGGAGTTAGCTATTAACGTAGTTTTCAAACGACTGAAATCTAAAATATAATATATTTCATCACTACAATAAATGAGATATTAAAACTTCTAACTTGCATACCTGACCTTGTTGACTGGTCGATCCATCATCAAGTTTGGCCCCAGATAGCAGTGAAGGGACCCCAGTTTGAATATTAGGCTTTCCTGAGACTTGTGCAACATTCAAATCGGCAGAAACACATGAAACTGAATCAAACTGATCCTGACTGGCACTGTTTTCAATCTCATTCAATTCAAATCCCCAGAGTGAGGCAAAGTCTTTAGCAGAAGGGCAACCGATGAAACTTCTGATAGCTCGTTTCTGATGTGGTAAAGAAACATTGTGCAACTTTTGATCACAGTCTCGACAGATTAACATTTTGTGGTCCAAACATAAAACATAAGCAACATGGTGTCCACATGAATTACACACAAGGTTCCGGAGGTGCCGGCCAGACAAAGCATTTGCCAAATGCACCTTGGCATCACAGGATAGACAAAGATATGCTGCATCAGCCTTACAGTAAACAAGTGGCCTCAGGGCCGTGCAGAATTCACAAACCTTCTCCATTTCCTTAGTCTTCAATTCCAAGCATGAAAAAGGCTCTGAAATTATAAAACCTCATACTGTATAGCCAGAAATTAGAATAAAGAAAATCCAGATATCGTCTCAGCTGTTTATACAAGGTTGCAGAGGCCTTTTATGCAAAAGGCAATATCATCTTATATCAGCTGTTGCCCTGTGTAGATTTAGAAGCTGTAAAGAAAATCCCTCGGGGTCAATTGAATTTAAGATTAAGAAAAAATAGGCGATTGCAAAATACCTTCACCTCAAATGCAGTTGCATATACTTGTCAAACCATAAGAAGACTATCAAGAATGATTGAACAGTCCTTTGAGAAAATAAAAAAGGAAAGTAGTTTATTTTCTATACACCAGAAAGTATAAAAAAAAAATTAACTATTCAGAAATCATGATAGATACCAATAATCAGAAATCATAATAGATATAAACATTTAAAGTGATTATTATAAAAATTGACAAACTCACTGTACATAACAATTAAAAATGGAATAATTGTGAACACTGACAGTGGATATTCGATTTACTCAATATACTATTACACAAAAGAAAAAGTGATGTGTCTCTCCTGTTGGTCAAATTGATTATAAACCCAAAAGAATTATTTCAAAACTCCATAATTTACCCACATGACTAATAACTCCAGAATTTGTGATACAATGATAGTTGAAATCACTCATCATAAAAACACCCAGATTGGAAAACGCAAATCAGAGGCAAATAAGTAATCACAGCACACCACTCTCTCGTCCCAAAAGACTAGCAAAAATCATAATCAAAATGAATGAAGATAAGAAAACCACCACAAACAAACAAAAAAAGCTGAGTCTAATTTTATTTTTTATGAAAAAAACGACAACAAAAAGTAAAGAAAGTAAAAACCATGCAAAACAATGTTTAGAAACCACTCAGTAGTGGATGCAACAATCAAGAAGAAATCCGAGAGAAGCAAGCAGGGTTGACCTTCAGAAGGACTTGGAAAACTGGAAAGGAAGTAAGAGAGTTACCTAAGACTCTTTCCCAATAAAATAAAGTTGAAGAGAGCAAAGAGAAAGCAGTGAAAAGTGTTTGTTTTTGGAAAGGAGAGGGGTTATGAATTATGGAAAGTATGGGTTTTGTTGTGGGTTCTTGCTGTGTAGTTGATAGAGAAGAAGAAGGAAGAGAAGGAAGCATGAAGCATGCGTTGTTGCAGGCTTTACCCAATTGGGGGAGGTGACGTGTACAATGGAGGATGGAACTTTCCAGCATGGAAAGAGCGATGTGGTGATGTGGGGTCCGCGGAGGACGTTATCCAATGTATAGTGCATGTGAATGTGGTGGTTACGTAATCCCAAAGGTTAGCCGCGTTGGGCCAATCGAAACTCCCGCAAACGGATGGGCCGGACCGGACTGGACCGGACCAACCACCCGGGCCCACGCCCTCGTGTCTCACGAGTCACATTACTTTTCACTCCATTTACATCCACAACAAACAAAAGTCCTGTACTCTATATGACATGACACTCACTTTTCAATCTTTTTAATCATATTTCTTTGTTGAAAGTAAAATTCTATAGGATGATTATTACAAGTTGCTGAAGCTATTTATTTATTAGACACACATTACAAGAAGAAGAAGATGGAATTAATGGAGAAAAATAAAAATGTTTTGTAGGTGGGGGTCCAAATTGAACAGAGAAAACAATAAATGTTGTTCGGATTGGACATCAAAAGTGTAGGAGCTGTTGACTTGTATGAATATTATATGATTTCAGGTAACACAGTTACTTGAAGCCCCATGAACTTACTACATTGAATTCAATGAAAACATCCAGTGAGGAAGAGAAAGTTATCATGTGAAAGTTTTATTGCTGCGGATACGTCCACTGCAAACAAATTTTAAGGTTTAAATAATCTTTTGTTTGGCTTATTTTTACTATGGTTTTAGTAATATGCTGGTTACTTAGTTCACTTTGATGGAAAAAAATCTAACAATATCAGCAAAATATAGAAAATAAAAAACCAAAATACCCTTCGATCATAAGAATTAAAACAAAAAGCCAATTCTCAATATTTAAAAAAAATTGTATTTATACATTTTGATTGATAAACATTTATTTAAAAAGAAAAAAAATGATTGTCTGAGGTGCAAGGCAACTTGCCCGAGGAAGACAACGTTGAAATTGTGCGTGGCTGGCAATAGTGGAGTCTGGACCCAAATTGGACGGGATTGCAAGTGTTTTGCTCTGGTTGGGCCTACAAATTTGGACTTAGATGAATAATTCTACTGTAACGAAGGACAACTGGTATTTAAGTTAAGACACAGATCAGTTCGCTCATGAATGTCGGTGATCAAAAAACAATAACTAACAAAGTAAAAAAAAAAAAAAAAAGATAATACCCCTTTTTTAGGACTAATTTTTGAAGAAAAAAAAATAGAAACTAAAATAACAACAGTATCAAGGTGAGGAAAAATACGCATTTATAAAAATAAATTATTGTTCATTTATATTCATTTAATTATTGAATTTCATATTTCTAATGTCATTTCTCCTTTTAAAATTATAATAATAATTTTACCTAAAATTTTAGAATTTGACTAGTCTTTAAGAGACAAACTTATTAATTTTGTATTATTTTTAATTTACTCATGCTTAACTAAAAAAATATTGTAAGAAAATGATAAATTGAAAAAATTAAAATAATTACAGTTCCTTCACTATACATTAGAATCTCTCATTAGAAAAACAGAAATTTCACTTTATTCACTTTATTAATTATAAATACTAATAAGAGGTAAAATAAACACCTGCACAATAAACCAGTAAATATCTAAGATATTTCAAACTTACATTTTTACATTTACTTATAAATTTAATTTCCTAATCACATCCACTTCAATTTTTAAATAAGTCAACATAATATTTTATGTATTTATTATAAATCTAAAATAAAATTTATTTACTGCAAACTTAATCAGATTAAAAATATTTATTCTTGTAAATTATAGTTATACAAAAATTATATTAATTTTATCAGTAGACATGCTAAAAGACTAATTAATTATTTAAGAATACTAGCAACATTTAAAAAAAATGTTATGAATTAAAATTTATCAAAAACAATGATTTATGACAAAATTTCATTAAATATAATAATGTCAAATCCAGAAAATTTTGCTTTTTAATAAATTTTGATCTGTAAAAAGTAATCCCTATATGTCTTACTATGTAGAGAACAGAAGAATAACTTGATCTCTGTCTGTCATCCTTATCAAGGATTATAGTTAAAATGTGGAATTTGAACTACCTCTTGGCATACAGATCTATTGAACAATCAACCAAATATTGCAAAAAAAAAAAAATAATGCAATGCACCTCTAATAACGGCAGGTTTTCTGCATTTGGACAGACCTACCATAACCCACAGAAACATCTATCAAAAAAAGTGCCTAAACAATTCCTCCAAAATACGTGCTGTACAAATAACCATAACAAATTCGAACTAAAATTGTTTTTCTTTTTAAGATGTTAAAAACACAAAAACCTTCGAGGGTAATATAATTTCCAAATATGGTCAGAAATGTCAGTTTGAGCACCATGATCAGAAAGGTCTAGGCGATGTAGTATATATCATTTCCAACAAATCAGCAAAATACGTTTTGAACAATCAACCGAAAGGCTACAGTAGCAGGAGACAATGATACTTCGCTGCAAAAACAAGTCAAGGACAAAAAGCGTGCACGCAGGTGACGTCCCTAAAGTAATTGAAGTAAAAATACATTACCACTACAAGATATCATAATGCTATTAAACAAAAAAAAAAATTCTTAAAAGTAGGAAGATAGAACATTACTCACCTAGATTAACATGATTTCACGTGAACTTCAATAATATCATCGTCTTCCATCCCAAGGTTTGCAGGGGTTTCAGACGAACTTATTTTATCACCATCAAAGGACAATACTATCTGTTTCAGGTCACACTTGAGTTTATCTGCATATGTTTTGACAATCCTTTCAAACTTGTCATCCTAGTAGAGACAATCAAAGATGAGTGTAAGAATAGAAGCTAAGCTCTGTATTCAAAATATGTCCACTGGGCTACAAATTGCAACACCGGTTTTAGAAAATAAAAATAAAAAAAAATCAGAAACACAACTCTTGTATTCCAACAAATTACAAATAGATTTTACCTGAATAATACAACTATCAATGTCACAAATTATAACAGTATATTCGCACATGGTAGTTGAATTAGATCCATTGTTAGACAGTATAGAACCGCGTCGTTGATGGATCATAAGATTCATGATCAATACTAAAACATAGATCTAAGAACAATTTTACTAAAAGAAATATAAAAATGAACACACATATACTAGCATGGTGAAGTTAAATAGCTAACAAAGCCACATAAGTTTTATTTTATTTTAGTTTCCAAAATATCATGTGATTAGATCTGCAGGGAAAGAGTTCCAAATGGGCACTCCAGCCACAAACCGCAGGGTAAAATGCAACGGCTTTTGCACCATTTGCGAATTGTGTGTGAGGATGATTCACACAATCCTTTGCTATTTGCTCGTTGCTCATGCAACTCAGACAGACACAAAATCGTTACAACCCACAGTTTGTATCGCCGAAGCTGAAGAATTGAAGAATCGTATCACATGAATCATATTGCGAATAGTTAGATGATGATAGTCATGCATTGACAACATAAAGTATATCTGCTGAAGGAATTATATACCATAAACATTCGAATCTGCTTTGTTCCATCCTTGTCTTGAACGGAAATGACAATCTTTGCTCTTTCAGAATTCTCTGCACTGTTCTCATCAACACCATCCACCGAAGACTGCAATGCATCATTAATTTCAAATTTAGAAGACTCTTCAACATCTTTTAACAATTGTTTTGCTGATTCGGCAAATGAGGCAAGCTCCTGCTTCTTTAATCTACACGCATGAATACACCCTATTAGAAACTGTAGATAAAAGGGAGTAGGGGATGGTGAGTAATTTTATGGAAATCTAAAACCATTTTCTTCACCCCTTGCATACCTTTTCTATCAGATTACCAAAAACATATATAGAAATACCAGAATGCTATGTAATGTTGACGTGTGGTGTGGAGCAGCAAGTCTAACTCCAGAAGAAGCACAGATTATTAAGACACAAGATGGTAGGTGGTATGGCGAAAGAAAACGAAAAATTGTGTAAACAATTCTATTTTATCATAGCATTCTGTGGTTAGGGTTGAATGAAATATTTATTTTTTTCAAAAACATAAAAATAGCTAGCACATATCCTACAATAAATTATAGTTTTACGCATTATTCTTATCCAACAATATCACTAATGGAGAAATTGTTTCCGGCTCAGAATAATGACAATATAATTTCAGGGAGGTGTAATATACGGGGACAATAGTAAGCAACTAAGATTTGGAATTTGAAAATTCTTACGAAGAGTGAAACGTGTACAACCTCAATTTTTTCAAAGTTGAATCCTCATCAATCGACCTCTGCGCATTACTTGCACTCTTTGGCGGAGGAGGTAACCAATCATCATCCTGATCCTCAATGTCTACCACTTTCACTCCTTTCCCATTAGTCTTCTTCTCATCCTCAACCTAAAACCCTAACAGTTTCAACAGTTACAAAACCAAAACCAGTAATCAGGGCACAAATACATAAAAATCAGAGCCTAAAATAAGCCTTACGGTCTGTGAAGTCTTCCTCTTCTTACTATCAACGCAAATCACACCCTCGTCATCATCAAAATCATCTGCAACCATCACAATCAGACATTCAAATTCAATCACAAATCCCGTTGAGTAATGATAAGAGGGGCGGTGGAACAGTAGTCTACTAAAATTTATGGTGTGAAAACGTCAAAAATTTTATAAGAAAAGAAACGAACCGTCGATGGTGATGGGGTTCACAGGCTGAACCCGGCTGTAGTCAAACAATGGTTCCAATTCTTCGATTTCATCCTGCAAAATAAATGATGAAATTGAGATGGCGAAAACGAGAGAAACCCCTAATTTAAAGTAGAGTAAGAGATAGAGAGTTTCACCATCTTCGTCGACCAGTGTCACTCAGTGTCTTTGGATGTTGCCTTTTGTATTGTGTTCTATTTCACCGAACAGAATCCTCTACAGATTTGCATATGATGCACCTTCTAAATCATGTTTTGTTCTGAAATAAATAAAATTAAAGGTAGGGATTGTTTTCATTTCTGTGGATTCTGTAGGCGATCCCGTCTCCTGTTTCTCTATCCCGCTTCGAACTTTAAATTCGTTTATCAGTTTATTATTTCCAAACAATAACTTATCAACAAAATACAAACTTTTTCATAAATATTTTTACAATATTTCAAACAAATAAAATTTAATTTCTTTGTAATTATATATATACAAACTAATTAGTAAAATTTATTATTAATTTTTTAAAAAATTGATTTTTAATTTATACATAAATTAATTTTAATTTATTTATGAAAAAAACATATTGACTATTAATATTTATTTGTTTATTTTTATTTGCATATTAAAATTAGTAATGGATGATAATAGATGAAATTGGTTTGTTTATATATATATATATATATATATATATATATATATATATATATATATATATAATTATATTATTTCAATCAATGGAATTATTTAAGAATACAAAAATAATTTTAATTTGATTTAGATTTACAAGTGTTATTACATCACTATTAATAGAATTTTTTTATAACTTAAAATAAATTTAATGCAGTGGCTAACAGCTCTGGAGCAACACTTTTTAATTTCCTTGGACAGGGTAAAGAATGTTGGATTTGGGTTTACTTTTTTATGTTTTTGTTTACGTTGAGACTAAATAGGGAGGAATAAAAAAGAAATAAATTGAAAAAAAATTATAATTTAAATTTTATTTATTTATTTATTAATTGGTATTATATATTTTTTATATATTTTTTATATTTTAATATATAAATTTATAATTATACACAATAGAAATTCCTTTTTATAATTTTTTTAGAGAAAAATAAAAAATATGATAATTTAAAATAAAAGTAATTATTATAATTTATATATTTAAAAATAATAAATATATGAAAAAAAAACAAAAAATGTGCATATACTGTATTTCTACTTATCATACTAATTCTCTTTTACTTCTTTTTTTCCTCCTATCATACCAAAAAAATATTTTAAAAAAATCCTTATATATATATATATATATATATATATATATATATATATATTTTATTACACTTTTTATCATATGTTACCAACAAATATTTAAAAAAAAAATCCTTTTATATATATAGTTGGTTAGTTATAGATAAAAGAACAACAAAATATTCATTAAAACTTTTTGAATATATTGACTACGTCTAAATTTTGCCTTCGAAATTTATAATAAAATTGTATAAATAATATATTCATTTGAATTTTTTTACATCGAAATATGTGAATTATCGAAATTTTTTCATTTTTAAACTTTGGACGGTTAGTAACAAACGTTCCCTTTAATTTTTTCTGTTTACATTAAAGGATGAATTTGAATAAGTGAAAATGAGTGAATTTGAAAAGAAAGAGAAGTTAGTTGAATTAAGGGAAAGTTGGTTAGAAATGAGAGGGATTTAACTTAAAAATTAAGATTTAATTGGTAAAATAGGTAGATTATTATTTTGCCCTTGACTTAAATAAAAATTTGAAAATAAAATATAAATTAAGTAAATAATGTTAAAATTAGATATGATATATTATTTAATTATATGGTTTTATTATAAAATGAAATATGTGACATGGAAATAAAATTGAAATAAAAAAATTATTTATGTTTTTTAAATGAAACAAATTTATAATTAAATTTTCTAATTTTTTTATTAATTATAAATGTAATTTAAATTTAAGTATATGATTAAGAATGGAAGGTAATAAAATAAATTTTATAATAAAATTGTAAAATTATACGAAAATAATGCGTAACAAAAAAATACAAAATCAATAGAAACAAATATTGAAAGTGTAATGTTAGAATGTTGTGGTCATACATAATAATGAACATGAATATAAAAGTATGCAAATTAAGACATCAATTATATTAAGAAGAGTCTTAACAATTGTCAAATCGCTCCTTTAAACGATTAATTTTATCATAAATCTTATCGAACCATGTGTTAATATTTAGGTTTAGATTAGCTAAATCATCTTCCATCTGCTACATTCTTTTATTTCATGTTTTGAATCCCCTAAATTTGTGATAACATTTGATCATGGGATATTGAATGCGGTTGAACTCATTCATGGTGGATAGGGCTTTGTTGTCCAAGGTCCGCTGCATCATATTCAGCTATAGCTGAGTCTTCATCGTCATCATTTTCATCTTTCTGGCTGACCCTTCCATTATACAATTTATTTTATTACCTTCCATAACCATATTCCATTAACACAAATAACATTTAATTTGGACAACGTTCTCTTACTAAAGTAATGAGTCCAACCCAAGACGATGGAGGAATCTAAAGTCAAATTCACGTCATAGTGTACCAATATGCGTGTGATGAATATGACGTATGGAAGATGCATGTTGTTGTTCTTGCATTTCAACATATGTTGCATAATATGATGCAGTTAATTAATCGAAATGTTACTTTTCAATGCTCACAACATAAATATATCTTCCTGTGTCAGTTTTGCAAGATTTATCGTCCAATGAGTCAATATATGAACAAAGACATAATGCAAATGTCAACCATTGATTTGTAAACTTCCTACATTTCTGACATTCTGTCCTTGGAGTTGTGGTCTTGGTCGTATTTCATGTCTTCTGAGATATCAGGAAATGCCATCTTATGTCCTTCATATTTAAGATTAGCTAGAGTTAATCAATTCGTAGGTGCTATTTTGATGTTTGTCCTATTTACCTCACTGTAGAGATTCCCTCATTTTGTGATTTTTTGGTTCGTGTAAAATACTTGAACCAACTCATCATAATATTCTGAATTTAATATACAAAATTGTGTCACCCCTTGAAACTAAATATGGTTATGGAAGTGTAATGTGGATGTGGCGAAAAAGGGGACATTCAAGACTTTTGGGCTTAAAACCCTTTGGTCATTAAATGAATTATTATATTATACCATTTGTTCATGTGTGTTAAACCAACGAGTAAGATTTAAGACATTCTCAACCTCAATTTGCTGTGAAGGATCTCCATGATCAGAAGCAACATCTTTTCTTTTTTACTCTTTTTACGTCAATATTTTTTTGATGACGAAGTCATGCTTACAAAATGTAATTGTGAATGGAAGACAAAAGATAATACATCCTACAATTAATGATAAGTTGTAAATGACTAATTCATAACATAAAATGCACATAAAGTAAAGGATATAAATAAGACAAAAATTGTTCAATACACATTAACATATATACAAGCCACTAAAATAGTTCTCAATCAAATTATAAACAAATCAACCCTGATTTACTGACATCATACTAATTAATTGGTTCATATGATGAGAAGTTGTCATCCCAAATAAGTGTTTTGTATGTGATGAATGCGCACACAAAAAGCCGTAACATTGGTCCATCACTTGTTCATTACCAATTTCTATGTCAACTATTAATTGCCAGATGTCGATCTCGGAGTGCTGAAATTTTGCATTCCTACGTAACTTCCTATTTTCAGCGACCATCACTTGTCTTTTCGCATACGTGGTCAATCTATCATAAATGTCGTTGCCTCTGCCAATTACTTCAACGACAACGTCCAATTTCGTATTTAAATTTTCAAACTGGGTGTCTACTACATCTATCATTGAGACTTTCCTTTTTTTGCCTTGAGAAGAAGATGTACCACTTGATAGGATAAATGGTGTTGGTGCTGGACTATGTGAATCAGCGGATGAGGGGGAGTGAAGAACAACTTTTGCTAAGCCATGAAATACAGGTTCCTCTGAAATATACTTCATATCATCATTCAAATCCACCATAAATGATTATGGTTGGATGTGTTGGTAGATTTGTCATGCCGTCCTAACCTCATGGCTAGTGGCACGATCAACACTCCATAATTCCTTCATCAAATCATAGTATCTGATGGGGGTGGTTCTCCACTTGGCAGTAGAGGGTTTTGCCTATCTTCCAAAAACACACGTAATAGATAAGAGATCAACAATTTTTTATTGTCTAGTATTATTAAGCAAGGTATAAGGAACACCTGTATGAGGTCATTCCAAATTCCGGGTTCGATCAAACAAGCTTGTGGATTCACTCCATGCAAAGCCACTCAGGTCAGCAAAAAGGTCATGAACCTCTCGTCATCAGTCCTTCAAGCTTTTCTGCCTATTATTGACATTATTTTTTGTGATACCCACCAAGTCTGACTGTTGAAAGGAGTTAACAATGTTATTATAGGTATGTGTGGTCCAACTAACATCAACTCTATGCCTAAATAGGCCTCATCAACCATGGTTGTTAACAAATGTAAGTCCATCTCCGTTGTCCATTTAGTAAACTCTCTAATGCCAACACATGACTCATACTACAAGAAAATCGCATATTTTCGACGGATTTTTATCGATGAATTTGTAGCCGTCGGAAATGAATCATTATCGATGAAAATTACTGATGGATATAAAGCATTTGTGGAATTTGGTCTTACCGACTGGATATATCCGTCGGTAAATTAACAATTAATTACTTGATTGATATATTCATCGGTAAATTAGTCGGTAAATTAACAATTATTTACCGACGGATATATCCGTTGGTAAAATTATATAATAATTACTTAATATATTTTAATAAATTAATTATTCACCTAATTAAAAAAATAAATATTTTTTTATTTAATAATTTAATTTAATCATAATTAGATTAATTTATAATAATGTATTAAATTAAATAATTTTAAAAAATAAATATTTAATTATATATAAATATATCAAAATATATAAATATATTTTTATTTATATATTTACATATATATATATATATATATTTATTTGTATATAAATATAATTTATTTGTAAATTATTATCAAAAAATTCTAGTAGTTTAATAGTTAGAGTATCAACTATTAAACTCTAAGGTACTGGATTTGAATCCTGCCAATAATAATTCAAAGCTATAAAAATGTAATGGGGGAAAATAAATAATAAAAATATAAAGGGGAGGGGGATCTCTAAAAAAATAGGCTATAAATAAGTAAAAAATGCAATAAATAATAAAAATATTACCGACGGATTCCTGTCTGTCGGTAATTTCGTGAAATTATCCTAGCCTATAATCATCATCTCCATGTTGTGTGCCATAAGGGTGCACATCTTCGTCCATCAACTCTAAGAATACAACATGTTAAGATAATTTTGGTCATAGATTCAAATGAGTAATGTGGTTTAGTCTCACCTGCTATGATGGGGAATCGTTTCTTCAAAACACCAAATGTCTTTTCAACAACATTTTTAAGTGTTACATGACAAATATTAAATAATTCTTTCGGATTTTTTGGACCTCTTCGACTGTACCCCTTCAGGTGATACTTACGTCACGATAAGGTGTTAGTACACTTACCTTTAACATAAACCCAACATCTCCAAGGTAATATTTTCCTACAATCATTATACTTAACATTATTTGAATGACTTCTAAATGACCACAAATCAAGTTCAACAAAATGATGTCAACTGACTTTGTGAAATAATGAATTGATCACCTTGAATAAGGATATCTTTTAAAATGCGTGAATCAGATGTAGTTCTCTCCATCCGGCTAACATATGTAAATTGCTAATCAAAATCACATGTTACAAATATATTTTATGTTGACCAATATTTTCTTCATAATAATTGGGGTATCTACTCATGGAAGCAATCCTAAAGGCCCAATCAAAATACAAGTATAAATAATAATAAATACATTGTGTACGTAAAGTGACATATGAGTTTGTACTATATATATTACCTTAATGTATTGATAAAATTGACTATTGTTTAGAATATGAGGTTAGATTTCAATCCCAAATGGTTGAATTAAGAATTCAGCCTTCAACATCAATATGACATTCAAGATATTATGAAAATATCTTGAAATTGTTTTCCCATAACGATAGAAAAAGAATGAGACATTTATATTCCTTACGTTATGTCCAATAATGTGAAGAAATTTAGTTACTTGTTATTCAACAGTTAACCGAAATACATCTTTTACCAACTCAGTTGCTCTTAATTATTCGCATAATATAATGAATGTTTCAGGTCTCATCCGAATAATGTTACGAAATTGTTTGGTATACACTAAGTACGACAACAACTCTTAACAACGTCTTTTTTTTTTAGAAACAAACTCCATAATATTTGGAATTGACAGACGCAACACATTCAATGCATAAACATTAATGCAAAGGATTGTCATTGCTACTATTTCTGTAGGAAGTTTTATTTGTTGTTCTAAATGTTCAATTAAATTAAAGTCACCGCTAAAAACATCATTATCAAGATATTCATTAGCAAATACCTCTTACCAACCATTCTAATGTGTCATTTTATTGACCCTCTTGAAAATATATCATATAAATGATATTTTGAAGTAAAAAATAATCTAATTATAATATTAACGTTGAACTTTAAGCATACCTTTTTTAATTTTATTAATAATCTTAAAAATATTATATCAATTATAATTTATATTATTAATAGTCTTAAAAATAATACAAACCTAAATTAAAAATATATCTATTATATATTTTCAAATTTTTTATCATTATATTTTATATATATTATTAACCTAAAAATAATTTATATTATTAGTCATCTTAAAATATTGAAAGTAAAATATATATTTTTCTTTTTTATATTTATATTTAATATATTATATAATTCATATTTTATATTATTAACTATCTTAAGAGTAATAGAAACCTGGTGAAATATCTATTATATATTTTAAATATTTTTAGGTTTATATTTAATATATAATATGCACCTAAATATAATTAATAATTTTTATATTTACATCTAACTTAAATTATCAATTCTATGCAACAATCAAAACCATGCACTCAGCCCCTCTCATCCCCTGTACAAACCCAAACCAAACCATAACCTGCAATGAGAACAAGAACTCTTATACGAGCAAGAACCACCGCAATGCAAGCTTACCAACAATGTATAAATGACCTCCTCTCATATGTATTTAATGGCAGCCAACCTCCACCTACAATGGTTAATACTCCTAGTCAACACGGTCTCCCTCGTGCATGTGCTCCTCTACGTGGATTCCCTATCGTGTAAGGACAAATATATGCTCTGCATGTATGCCAAGCTTTTTCAGATCCATTTGCACGCATGCTTAGCTTTTCAAAGGAGACACCACGTGGATTCAATGCACTGTGTCTTCACGTGGAATAGATGGAAAGGAATAAATACGTAAATTATCATTAGATGATGTATGTTTCTTGACATATCTCTTCTTTTAAGTAGGTGAGTTTTTATCCCACTCTCCCTTAAATTAGCACTCACATATCCTCTCAAATTAGTTGAAACAAACATATACAATACTCATTTTTTATCTTTCTAAACAATAAATAAACAAACACAAATTTAAATGGAAATTTATTTAACCATAGCTTGTGCAAATTATTAATGTGATGTATTATTGTAAATTCAATTAGAATTAGTCGTGTGATTTGTGCATTAAGTTTTAATTTTGTATATTTTATTTTTATTTTTCTCAAACTAATTATGTATTTAATATTTTTATTTATTGCAGAAAAAGTTTGACTTGATTTTTATGTTGAGAAAAGAGTCCATCTAATTGGACTATAAGGATCAAATATAGGTCTTCAAGGTCGAGGACACCTATTTTTGTACCTCCATAATAATGTTTTTATCCATTTCCATATCCAAGTAAAATAATTAAAATATATTTTTAATAATTTTTATTTTAAATTTTAACATTTTTTTTACATTAAAATTACATATTAAGACTAAGATTGTTTATCTAAAACAGTTTTACAAGAATCATTGAGTCATAAATTTTAAGATTAGTTTCCTGAAAACCCATTATGAAACATCCATTTTATAATGTAATTTTAAAAAAGTTAATTTGAAAATACATATCAAATTCTAAATGTTTCGTATTTTTAGAAAAGTTAATCCGAAAATATATTTAATTTTTTTTTCTAAAACATGTTTTAGAATGTATTTTCAATTTACAAATATATTTCCAACCAAAAATCTTATTACGTGGATAATGTACGTACTAAAACTTTGATACAAATTCAAGATAGTGAAAGATTCTTACCTATTTTTTAAAATTCTTAAAATTAATAAGAAAAGAAAAAATAAAAATAGTTTAGTAGATTTAAAACTCAGACGTTCAAATGGTTAAAAATTAAAAGTAAATACTTATAAAGATAAAAATAGATATAAAGATAAAATAAAAATTTAATTTAATTATAAAATTACAAGAAACTAAGAGGAAGAAAGTACACCGTAACGGAGTTGTGATGACCGAAATTTACTAATCGTCGTGCCTGTGCATGGCCAACCACATTTACGCAAGTTTGATTTAGTTTTACTTTTAAATTTTAAAATAATCATTAATTTAAAATAATTATTTTTATGATATAATAATAAAGAATACATTATTATAATGATGCAAAGGAAAGATATAATACAACAATTGCTAAAAATACTTATAATATTAATGAAAATAAAAAAAAGCTTTTAGTTTTTAAAAATTAAAAAAACTATGTTTACTGTTAAACAAGTTTGTCAAGTTTTAAAAACTATTTTTAAAAACACTAATCAAATAAATTAATAATTATTAATATATTTTAGTCATTAACACATATGAATAGTTTAAAAATTATATAATGTATAATCATTAAAAATACATTGACAGAGAGGGGACGTCAGTTCCCACACCTCCCAAATTTTGATTTATATATATATAATTATAAAAAGATTTAAAATTATATAATATTATTTTTTAAATAAAAAACTTAATTATAATATTTTATAAATAATAATTATTATTATTATAATAACTATCATTTTTATTTTCTCACATAATTTTATATTTATATCTTTTTATTTTATTCTTTATTTTCACTTTTTTTCCTACACTTCAATTGCAAACATTTTTTTTAATTTTATATTTATATATTTTTCTTCATATTTTTTATGTACATACATTTCTCTTACATAGAAATTAGTAAGTTTGTTTATTTAAATTTTTTTATGTAAGTAATTTTTTATTGTTTTTATTCACTATTATAACATACCTTTTATGTAAGTATTTTTATTTAATTTTTTTTATGTAAGCAATTTTTTAATGTTTTTATTCACTATTATAACATATCTTATTATTTAGTATCAAATAATTAATTATTTTAATATTTTATAATGTTTAATTTTAATATTAAAATATATAAAAAATTGAGCTTTAAAAATATTTATGAAAAAAAATTATATATTCATCTTTAAAAAAAAACTAAACTTTAACTTTCTGAATTTAAATTTTAACAAATAATATTTAGTATTGAATAACTAACAATATAAATTACATACTAATGGACGATTTTTATGATATGAAATATAAATATAAGGTATTTGATTTTATATATATTTATTTTATACTAATGTTAAATATAATAATTGTATATGATATATATTTTTATATCTCAATTAATTTCAATATATATATATATATATATATATATATATATATATTATCAATTTAATCTTTACGAAAATTTCGGTTCCATTGATATTGTAGTATACACTAATAATATTTTGATGATAGTTTAAAATATTATTTAAACTTATTTACTTTTAGATACACATAAGTAATTAAAGAGTACAAAGAATTTTTATTTGATGATATTTAATGGTACATTTTAAGAGACTGGGCACAATATTGTATTCTAACAAATCTTTATTTTTTTTTAGAGAGAATCTTGTAACAAAAGAAAATGAAGTGGATTGAACCGGCATCTATTGCAACAGATAGGAACGTTAGACTTTTTTTTTTTTCATATAAAACCAAAATTCTTAATTAAGTTTAAATGGGCTATTATTAATTCAACAATACTTATTCAAAGACATTAATTTTTTGACAATATATATATAGGGGAAAACTGATATTATTAAATAGAACTATTAATTTGCCAAAAAAAATAAAATAAAGGTAGAACTGCAAAGAACAGCACAACGAAGCATATCTCTAGTTGGTAATGTGAATGATATTCCAAAAATTAATGTACTTTTTTATTCAGTGTGATATTACTTCTATGTTGCAAGGAAGTAGCATGTTTGAGTGAGTTTCGTGTGGATGGGTCTCACCTTGTACAAAGTGTGTTAAGCTATGTGTATAGAATGAAGTTGAAACACAGTGTTTCCCTGAAGGGTGCAACTTGTTGTTAATAAAAACAAAAAACCTTCATATGGTTGTACCTCAGGTTGACATTTGTTGTTAATAAAAAACAAAAGCCCTTCAATTCTTTAGTCCATAGACACACTTCAAACTTCTTCCTCTGTGCTTTATAATCCTTTAAACATTTTCTTGCTTCATTCTATTAAGTTCCTCTGTCTTCTAACTTACTGTGAAAATGATGGATGAGTCAATGGCATTTATAAAATATGTTCCTAGCTTTGCAAGAGGTTTTAACCTTCTGCTAATACATGATGACAAAAATACGCGTTCGTACCTCTCGTCAATTCTTCAGCTATATTCTTTCAAAGGTATACTTTTTTTTTTTTAACCATTCTCTTTCTGACTTTCATTTCTCTCTTTCTATAGTCTAAGCTCTTTGGTATACCCGTTTTAATCTTTATTCTTACTCGAAATTTCTTGTGTTTTTACTCATTCATTTGTTTATGAGTAGATTAAAAAATAAAATAAAAAATTGGAGACTTTCACCAAAACTTTTGATAAAACATGTAAATTTTTAACCCAGACGAATAGAAAACACAAATATATAAAAGATTCAGCCTTTACGACCCAAAGATTGAAGCCAATTGTAAAATTATAAATTGAATCAGTTGGAATGAGTTTACAAATGGTTTTCAAATTATCACATGGATGATACAGTAAGGTTTTCAGGTTAGCTTTATTCTTAATTGTTGAGGAATAATTAAAAAATTTATAGGTATTATTTTAAATTATTCTTGCCTCTGGCTTATTGTATTCACTCATCTAAAAAGTATATACTAAAAATTAAAAAGGGTCATCCAATTTTGTGTTCAAACACCTTTCTTAGCAAGGACTTAAATTTCACATTCGTGCCCTACCATGTGAAATTCGTCAAACCCTTGATGGGTTACTAGTTCTCGTACTATATCTAGCATGCAATCTTTGCTTTGAATTGTGCTTTCGAGAAGGGAATTTTTTTTGCTCACAACATCTATCCAAATTTAGTGTTTCAAGATATTTTCACTTGCTTTATCTATTTATTTATTTTAGAGCTAAATGATTTGAGAAATTTGTGGCTCAACAAGTCTGCAATTGGTTATAACACTTGAATATGGTGTTATTTATCTTGTTTGATTAATGTGCACAACAAATAAGTGTCATAATTGTTTGGTTCCTCAGTTACTGCTACAAATAATACATCCGCAGCTGCATCAATGATTTGCAATGAAGAAGGCATCATGTTCAAACTGGTCATGGCTAAAACTAATATGCCTGACATGGATATCCTTTCTTTTCTGAATTTAGTACTTGAAAAGGACATTCCTGTCATCTGTAAGTTCCAGTTCAGGTATCACTCAATTTTCTCCAAGATTTTAGTCTCATTTGATTGATATAATAATTCATCGTTTTGTATCATGTACAGTTATCAACACTGGAGTATTTGATGATGTAAGTAGGAAAGCTTTATCTACAGGACTATGTTATTTCCTTCAGGAGCCAATCACTCCCAATGATCTTAAATATCTATGGCAACATGTGTATCACTCAAGAGCCTCTTCAGCCAGAAACACTCAAAATGCAGGCTTTCAGAGCATTGAGCCCCATGCAGAAGGATTACAGAATACCCAGATGAAACAGGTCATATATATAGTTCCATGGGATAAAAAGGAAATAAATAACTTCATATAAAAAAGAGTAAATAGAAATAATAAAAAATGAAGTGAAAATTGAACAATTTTTGTTAAAGAAAAGTAAATAGAGAGTTAATGAAAAATAAATGAAAAACACATATAGTAAAAAATATTAATAAGCTTTTACTTATTTTCACTCTATTTCCATATTTAATCATATAACTAAGAATATTTTTACAATTTCCTAAGACAAAGATTTGTATTAATAATGCAATCGTTAATGTACTATGAATTGGTGTATGTAACTAGTAACTATATTAGGCATAAAATCTACCTGCGTACTTCGTTTAAAGTTTGCAATTTTGGATTACTGATTCGAATATAAAATGTAAAAATTATTCAAAGTAACTTTAATTTAAATCAGGATTCCGAATTTTGATTCACTTTAATTTGACGTGAAATTAAACCTGAACAACTTACCTATGATGAGAAAATATCTCTGGAAATATATATATATATATATATATATATATATATATATATATATATATATATATATAGTATCCATCTTATTCATATTTTTCTCAACTTCTCTCTCTGGGTGTTATAGTGTTGGGTATCATTAATTATTTTCCTTACCAAGTACTTACCTTTTGAACAGTTGACAAACAACGAATGCCAGGTTCTTGGAGCAAAAAGAGGAAGAAACGATGCTGACATAAAAGGAAAGAGAATTGATTGGGACTACACAATGCCAACCACACAGTGCCCGGTTCACCAAGCATATGGAGACATAAACCGTGTTGAAGATATGGGCAAACAGAAAGAAAAGAAAAATGTTGAACAAGAAAAGCCAGATTCATTGAGATCGGCCAAGATGAACTCTAACATCAATGAATATCTCAGAGTTTCTGAGTTAAAAAAACGTTGCACTGTTTGGACTCCTGAGTTGCACCAAGAGTTTTTAAAGGCCGTGCAAGAACTAGGAGAGAACAGTACTATTTCGTTTTCCTCTCACCATATATTGAATTCATTCCCTCTTTTCTTTTCTTGATTAGCTATATATCAGTAGTGGATTTCAACTTCATTCTTGATAAGATAATTAGTAATGATTAATTTCAATGTCTGTGTTTCACTTCCGTTTTTGGTATTCAGATGCTCGTCCAAAACAGATATTAGTTCAGATGAATCTCAACGGGCCTTATTACCTCACTGTTCGCCAGGTTGCAAGTCATCTGCAGGTTATTTTCTGCCACCCTAACTTAGACAAGGAATAGTTTTTCATCATTTATGTTCCACAAAATTAATGTTTAAAAGTTTTAAATCGTTTCTCCATGGTCAACTAGTCCAAGTGTGCATTAATATATGCTCCAAAGTCATTAGGGCTAGCCACAAACTACTGTTGAGTTATTTGGAATTTGCTGTGTAAACTGCTATAAATATACTTGAAAATTTTCTGCTTTGAATTAATAATCTACTATATAAGTTAAGTATATTTGTTTGGTAAATGGTAGTACTTTACTATATTAATATCGATGCATAAAATTAGGACACTAGGAACATTTTATAAAAAATGCAACATGAGCCGAAAAAAGTTAATCATCATGTCAATGTCATTATACTTTGTTCTCTTTTTCCATAACTGTATATAGTTGCACTCATGAATGGAATAACCACCATTCATCTTTTCTCGTCTGCTTCATCGTTTAGCATTTTTCTTCACCAACATTCTTCTTACACAGAAATACAGATTGCGGTTGAAAGGTGAAGAGAAGTCTCGCAATTCGAATTTGCCTACAGTAAGAACATCATCATCCTCAATGCAAAAAGCCAACTATTCCCCACCTGAAGGGTCCACCTTGGAAGAAAACGGTAATTATTATAATTTCACTTTGTTTTCCACTGATCATAGATTGCAAACCATCTTTTGTTTGTGATTAATTCGTTACTCTAGAACATAAAAGAGCCTTTTGACCTAGGTCTCCCAGCACCAAAGGTTATCTTGAATGTGAATCATAATCAAGACCAGATTGCAGTGAACAACGCGGAAAAGCAAGCAGATGCTTCGGATTCACAGCCTATGCCAGGTCCTTCAGTGGATCTAAATATATCTGAAACTGATTTCTATGAACTCGTAAGATCGTTTGTGGAAGACTGTGACTGTTGTAATTTGTATAAAAACGAATCCAATCCTGCTGCTGATGGTGAATGCACTGAGATGCTAAGAAAAGTTCTAGATGGAAAGAGTTCCTCTTAATGGTAATTTGACATGGACAACACCAGCCAGATCAAAAGGTTTCCCACTTTATCATGTTCATACTTCAAATAATATAAGACCCATATATATCATACTTCAGAAACTTTAGATACACAGTTTCTTACTTTTTTTCTCTCTTTTTTTTTCTTTTTTTTCTTTTTTTTCCTGTTATGTGCTTGCAGATTAACTGAACCTTCAAATGGAAGCGTATTGGGAACAAATGAAAAACTTTCTGTTATATAGCAATTCTGTCAACAGCAGCTCTACATAGCCATTGGTTAAATATATTACTTTGAACATGTACAGGAAAAACGATACTTTCCTTTTTTTGTACAGTAGTAGACATTATCGTATGTGCTTCTTATTATATGCATATTAAACATATAAATTAGTGTGGAGGTTTTTTTCAAGATATATAGGAAGATGATAAATAGAGTGTTTGTGTTTCTCCTTTTTGCTAGAAAACATGAACTAATATATGCTATTAGAGACAGGGTTTTGCTAACAATTTATTAAAAATGTTAGTAATATATGTGTCATCTCATAATTTTTCAGGAGCTATGAACTTGAATTGTTTTCCAGGTTAATTTTTATTTTTAAAACATATCGCTCTTACGAAATAGTATTCTATACAAAAAAAAATCACCTGTTTTGGACAAAATTGTTCACACAAGTGAGTGAGATATTAACTTTTATGAGTTAAAAATAAAGAAATTATCGTAATGAAAATATCACGTTATTTCTACTAAATTATTTAGAGAATTTTGTGATAGCTTAAATTATTGATTTTGTTTAGTTGAAAGAAAAAAAATATTTAAGAATTATTATGTTGCTTGAAAATATTTTCTAAAATTTGGAAAGTTATTTTAAAAGCAATTTGCTAATTAATTATATATAAATATGAAAAGTCTAAATAATTGTCAACCGAAAAAACCAATAAAACTCATTGTGGGTTTCGACCAAGACCATAAAAAAATTTGAAAAGAAAACATGAATTGGAAAGAAAAAGATATGAAGAACATGTCATCTTAATAGAATAAATGCAATTTAAACATATTATTTTGTAAATAACTACTTCAATTCGCAATTTGAATTTAAAAATTAATAACAAAAGGGAAAAAAATATGATCGATGGAATACTAAATAACTATTACTAAACAGAAGAAAAAAATTATTAAATTTAATGTTAAACGATAATTGAAAATCTAAATTAGTTCGATTGGTTGGTGGATTCAGTCCACAATTTTATTTCTACTCAATTACTGCAATAATTATGTTCAGATAAATTCCAAACAAGAATTCAAAAAATAATCATACTGAAAACCAGTTAATATATATATATATATATATATATATATATAAAATATATATATATATATATACAAGGTTGAATAGTAACTATGGGATCTAAACTTACACAGTTGATAATAATAATTTCATTAAAAATATTCCTATTGTACGGTTTCTTTTTTCTAGTGTTCCTTCTTGTACACTTCTATAGCAAGCGGTTGTGGACGACGGATACCACTTTCACGTCCTCAAAATTATTTTGTTTTATTTAGTATATTTAAAATGATAACATATATAGCTATGGGGAAACTATCATCACCATCTTCAACCCTGAAATGGAAGTATAAAAGAAAGAAACATTGAAAAGTAAAACGTACAGGACTAGGATTTTTGATGACTTTGGTTTACATCCAATGGTAACTATAACTGTCTTAACTCTCACATAAATATTTTTCTCATATCACATAACTTCAGTTTTTATATATTGGTTACAGGGCCTTTAAACCAACGCCGACCACTGATTAACCAGAAAGAAACTACAAGAATAAGCAAACATCCAAAAGCAACAGGAGTGTAGTTAAGTGTTTCTATTGTTATTGGGTAGGAAACAGGCAATGAGAAAAGTATGGAAATGATCAGCACCCAAAGAACAGCAACCCAGCCCACAATCACTCCGTACCGGCCCAAGTTGAAAGGCCCAGGGACAAAATCCTTCTGTGCCAGGGTCACCCTAAAGAATATAGGTAAGGCATAAGCAATATAGAGGCCAATCGTTGCAATGGATACCATGGCCTCAAATGCCACTATGCTTCCAAGAGACTGCAATATGTTTACATTTATGGTCAAACAATATTCCACTTTTCGACAAATCAGAGAAACCAAAATTTTCAGCTTCTTACAAATGAAAGCTTATAAAATCACATACCGTTAAGGCCATGCTGAATGATATAGAAACGGAAAGCCAAACTGCATAGATGGGAACCTCTTGCCTGTTAACTTTGTGCCACAATGATGATATTGGCATGGCCCCATCTCTAGAGAAAGCATAAACCATCCTGAAAAAGCTTTAAGTATCATATTATATTCATGACAAAGTAAAGCTCTCTAGTAGAGAAAAGCGTGCTAACTAGGTGTTGGCACTTCTACCTTGAATTGCTGGTAACTGAACTCATGCCACAGAAAAATATTGCAACAGCAACAATTACTAAGCAAATAATACCCCCAGTTCCATGGCCATATCTTTTCTTGAATGCAAGATAAAACACTTCAGCAATAGCATACCCACCAGCGTCATTATCTTCACTCAAAAGGTAAGGGATGTCAGAGACTGCAAAAGTAATGCCTAGTATGTAACCCCATCCAACTATAACAGATATCCCAACAGCACTGATAATTCCTTTTGGTCCATTTATGTCAGCATCTCTGGTTTCCTCTGTCTGCAGATAGAAATTACAGTAAACAGTGAGTCTTAGTGAGAGTTTTGCAAAATTATTTTTGGTTAAAATCGATTTTGAAGGGATGTGATTTATGTTTTATTGTTTTTAGCTTTTATTATGAAATGAAGTTAGTGGTATATGTATAAATGTTTTCTTGATTGCAGATATTTGCAAAAAAGGTAATCCCAAGACGTTTGTGCAGTGACTGCGGTTTCATTTTTGTTGTACTTATACCATACAATACAGTTCAATATACTTGTATGATGATATGCTAAAAACTTACAAGAGTCTTAATTCATCCGCAATTATCTGATCAGGATGGTAGCTCAAAAACAGGCTTGCGGAGCAATGCAAAATGCCCAGCCAATCAAACTTTGAAAACAAGAGCTCGCAGATAACTGCACGATTCTGTTTGAGAATCACTCGAAGGGGAGGGATCAATCAACATAAGAATATGCGTTAGGAAGTGTTCTATAGTTAGGTTGAATTAGCATATCTAAGCCTTAAGGAAGTCTGGTTATAAATTATCTTCCACCTTAATTTCTAAGATTTATAAGCATTTTAAGTTATCACAAAACGAGTAGGAGGACCTAAAATCCTATTTTTTTTTTATTACAAATAATGACGTTTCAACTTTAAGTTTATTAATATAATATTGATAGTCAATCATCGTATCTGAGAATTGTTTGTTTCAGAACTCGATTCTTTTTTCATAGTTTTATCATAAGTTAAAGGAAGGAAAATCTATATAAGATATTATTGGCTTTAACCTTGACTTCTGAATCGGAAAAAATTGTTAGACAACTCAAAAACTAATATAGATATCATTATATTAATATAATATCAGATTTATCATTATATTAATATTTTAAGTTATTGAATAGTTTTACTGCGATGTCAAAATATCGCTACTTCTCTTGAATAATGGGTGACTTTTTAGTATATCGAAATAGAACAATGATATATTGAGAGAAATCATTTTACTAAACATTCCTTTAATAATTTTTTTATTTTTATATATTATTATTTATCTATCTTATTTCATTTTCTTTCTATATTAAAATAAGTTTTACAACAAAAATTAAGAAATAAGAATAATTTTAACCCTCCCTTTTATCTCCAAATATGATACAAATATTTATAATAATATAATTTGGTTTACAATAAAAAAAATTCAAGATCACTCATTATATTTTATTTTTAATTAGAGATTTGTTTGCCTACACCCAAAAGTAATATATTATATATAAATCAACATTAAAAACAACTTATATATATTTATCTCTCTTAATCTAGTAAAATAACTTTTAAGAAAAATAATAACAAAAACATTATGCTAGAAACTGTATAATATGTTAAATGTAGTGGTTAACTCAAATAGTATTACGTTATCTTTATCATACTTGAAATTAAAACATTAAAAGTGTTTGTGGGATCAGAAAGGTTCGAAGTTACTCTTACTTATTAACCCTCCAGTACGAAGTTTATTCCTATACACCTAAAACTCCCATGTTGCTTACAAAAATTGAAACATTGAAAGTGTTCGTGGGATCAGAAAGATTCGAGGTTACTCCTGTTAACCCTCAATTACGAAGTTTATTCCTATACACCTAAAAGTCGCATGTTGGTTACAACGCAAGAGAGTAGTTACATTCTCATCTCTCATTCTATTGATCATTTAAGAATGGAATCTTGATGGAAACATCAAGTTCAAACATGACCATAATGATATAATAAATTCACCATAATTAATACTTATTAACAAATTTGAGGTAATAAGAATATGGATTACCTGATGCAGGAAATTGTGAAAGGCTTTCAAGGCAATAAATTTGAGAAAAGGAAGCAAAAGAGTGGAAAAATATACCATATAAGCCGATGCGTCAAATCCAACTAGGGTATACTGACTCATTAGAAATCCCAAGAGAAATATGTAGAGCCTGTTGCTTATTCCATCCCCATTTTCAGTATTGAAATGAGTAAAAACAAACTTTGCACTAGCCCTTTCCGTGGCAACAGATGGAATAACAATCATAAGCACAAAAACACCTAAAATTTTCAAATTCAATTAAAAATTCAGAAAGGTTGCCATGTTGCACTAATGCACAAAACAATTAATCAAATAGAAAATTCATTCATACCTAAAACATTCCAAATAGCTGCCAGTTGTCCCAAAAATGATAACAACGAGATAGGAAGGCTGTTTATTATGCCGTGTAAGAGCAAAATTACCGCATGGAAAGCAATAACTACATATTTGGAAGCCTCATATCCGCCACCATTTTTCCCACCGGTACTAAGGAGAATAATAACTTGAATTAGTAGTGCAAGTGAAAAATCTACACTTGTTGTCATTGCCCACTGCAAATGAAAAGAAACCAAAGTTGGATTCATATACGTCCCGCACAAGTTTAAACCTTGCAGAGAAAAGTGAAGGGTGTGTTATCTGTGCCTTCTTATAAGAATACCTGACCAACAATATTGAACCTGTAAAAATAGATACACGCATAAGAGAACAAACCATGGTAAAGCAAATATGGAATTGTGTCTTGTTATTAGAGTACTTGACAAACTGATTAAGCCGTAAACTTTAATTTTCAAGGTATATAGTGTTAAGGAGAGCTAACAACTTAGACAATTATAGCCAATTTTATCCAATTAATAGCATTAACATTTCAAAAACCTGTATGAACATTTTACATCATGAGTTTGAGAAATAAATAGAAATCTAAACAAATTATGGATCATATCATTAATTATAAGTAATAACCTTTAATTTTGAGACTGGATTTAAAATAAATTCCACTTTTTTGTTAATTACTATTTATCTATGAAATATAGCATAAATTGTTGTTCAAAAGTTCAGTGTATATTCTTGATTTACGTGGTTTTTATTCACCACTCATACTAAAATATAAATATAATAGGAAAATCACGAGAGAGATTTAGGCAAATGAAGAATTTATGACTGACATTTTATGATGAAATTAACTCTCAATAATATCAATATTTGGTAGAATGATATGTTTGCTGCACATATATAGTAGTGAATATTACTATATTACAATCCTCAAAAATATGTTCTCTGTTCTGAAATTGTTGGGTTATTGGGCTCCCTTCCTATGTGGAGAATAGGCCCAAATAGTGTGGTCCATTATGTCTCATTTGGGTAAAATGAGATGGGTCAGATTAGTAGAGGACAAGAGAGTCATTTGAAAAAAGACAAAAAGTCTAGTGAGAGAAAAAGAAAGAGAGAAAGTCATCTCCGCATAACCCTAAATCTGCACTGGTGTTTTCGTCGCTGTGAAGTCGTTCACCGTTGGATCGAGCTGATTTTTGGATAGTAGGTTCCAGACATATGGTTCTTCATTCTGACCGTTCGGATCGTCAATCGAAGGTCTAGATTGGGAGAAATTGGTCCCGCACCAGCAGCCCTGTTTTGGAGATTTTTCATCTTCTTTGTTTCTCTTTTGTAAGCATTTGTGCTTAGTTAATTCTGCTTATTGAAAATACCTTTTGGTATTATTATTGGAGACTCTTGTGTACCCCATTATTGATCATAGTGGATTTTTCTTTGGTCTGGACGACTCGTGGTTTTTACCCTTGCATTGAGGGGTTTTCCACGTTAAAATTGTTGGTGTCTCTTTGTGCTTTGGATTCTATTTGTTTGGTGCTCCTCGCTGATTCTCGCAAGAAGGGGGATTGAATTTCCGCTGCATTATTACTCTTTGTCAAGTTGTTATATTTGTTTTTTGGCCTTTTTTTTATACCATCAGAGTGGCATCAGAGCTCTTAGGTTAAGGGACTGTTTAATTTGCGTGAATGATGGAGGCACATACAAAATTGATTCCGTTGAATGGAGAAAATTATCACTTATGGAAAGGCAAGATGAAGGATTTGTTATTTGTGAAAAATTTGCATCTTCCTGTTTTTGCTTCCAATAAGCCAGAATCCAAGTCAGATGAAGAATGGGATTTTGAACATCAACAGGTATGTGGATTTATCGAGCAGTTTGTTGATGATAATGTTTATAATTTTGTTGCTAATGAGACACATGCGAGAAGCCTATGGGATAAGCTTGAGTCCTTGTATGCTTCTAAGTCGGGGACTAATAAATTGTACTTGCTTGAAAAATTTTGTGGAGTTGAAGTACAAGGAAGGAACTCATGTTTCAAATCACTTGAGTGAATTTCAAGGACGCTATGATCAATTAGCTGGAGTGGGTATAAAATTTGATGATGATCTATTGGGCTTATTCCTATTAAACTCTTTACCGGATTCGTGGGAGACATTTCGGGTTTCCATGATAAGTGCTACCCCTAATGGTGATATTTCTTTGCAAATGGCAAAGAGTGGTGCTCTTAATGAGGAGATGAGAAGGAAGACACAGGGTACTTCATCTCATTCGAAGTGCTTATTACGAGAGAATAGGGGAGAAACCAAAAGAAAGAACAAAACAGTGGTAGAGATAAAAGCGAGGAGCAAGTCCAAGTCTCGGTACAAGAATGTGGAGTGTCACTATTGTCACAAAACAGGACATATAAAGAAAAACTGTTTTTTGTGGAAGAAAGAGAGCAAAGACAAAAAGGGTAAGCAAAGAGAAAAAGATAATGATGATGGTGATCGTGTTACTACTACTACATGTGGTGACCTTGTTTGTCTTCGTGATTATGACACTATTAGTCTTGTATCCGATGAGAGCATGTGGATAATTGATAGTGGTGCTACACTCGCATGTTACATCCAGGAAGGAGTTCTTCACATCTTATACACCTGGTGATTTTGGAGTATTGAAGATGGGTAATGATGGGGTGTCTAAAGTTGTTGGTGTTGGTGATGTTCACTTGCAAACCAACATGGGGATGCAGATTGTTGCTTAGAGGAGTTAAACATGCTCCGGATGTTCGCTTTAACTTGATCTCTCGTGCGGTACTTGATGATGGTGGATATTATAACCATTTTGGTTCTGGAAAGTGGAAGCTCACCAAAGGTAACTTGATTGTGGCTAAAGGGGAGAAAAACTCTAAGCTTTACTGGACAAAAGCTTTGGTTGCTAAAGATAGTGTGAATTCCGTGTATATGGAGTCATCTTTGTGGCACAGAAGGCTTGGGCACATCGATGAAAAGGGGCTTAACCGCTTATTTAAAAAGGATGTTCTCTCAGGATTGAAGAATGTAGATTTGGAGAAATGTTCTCATTGCATGGCTGGTAAACAAACCAGAGTATCCTTCAAGAAGCATCCTCCCTCCAGGAAGTCGAGTTGCTTGAATTGGTGCATTCTGATGTTTGTGGCCCATTGAAGGTAAAGTCTTTTAGTGGTGCACTTTACTTTGTTACCTTTATTGATGATTGTTCCAGGAAGCTTTGGGTTTATGTACTACGGAGAAAGGACCAAGTGTTGGACAAGTTTAAAGAATTCCATGTTTTGGTTGAGAGGCAGTCAGGCAAGAAGTCGAAACGCATTCGTACCGACAATGGTGGTGAGTATTGTGGACCATTTGATGCTTATTGTAGACAATATGGTATTGCACATGAGAAGACTCCTCCTAAAACTCCTCAGCTGAATGGTTTAGCGGAGAGGATGAACAGGACATTGATTGAAAGAGTTAGGTGTATGCTTTCTGAAGCAAAATTGCCTAAGCATTTCAGGGTGAGGCATTGTTTACAGCAGTGCATGTTATTAATCTAAGTCCTGCAGTTGCTTTGAACTCGAGGTGCCGGACAAGATTTGGTTTGGCAAGAATGTTACTTATGATCATTTACGTGTCTTCGGTTGTAAAACATTTGTTCATGTTCGAAGGATGAAAGATCCAAGTTGGATATGAAGACAAGGCAATGCATCTTTATTGGTTTTGGTCAGGATGAATTTGGCTACAAGTTGTATGACCCCGTTGAAAAGAAAGTTGTTAGAAGTCGTGATGTGCAATTCATGGAAGATCAAACCATTGAAGATATTGATAAGGAGAAGAAGTCTACACCTAAAGGAAATGGTAATGTGGATGATGTTGATCCAATTCGGTTGTCTATTAATGATTTGGATATTGATGCTCATGATGATGAACAACATGGTGATACCTGATAATCAACAGGTTGAAGATAGCTTGGATGTTCCTATTGATAATGTTGATGAAGAGGAACATGATGTATCACATGATGAGAGTCTTGGTGATATACCCGAGCTACTCGAAACTCAACCTAGAAGATCCGACAGGCCAAGACAACCTTCTAAGAAGTACTCTACCAATGAGTATGTGATGTTGATCGATGAAGGAGAACCTGAATGTTATGAGGAGGCCGTTGAAAGTGAAGAAAAGCAAAAGTGGTTGGATGCAATGCAGGATGAGATGAAATCGCTGCATGATAATCACACTTATGACTTGGTGAAGTTGCCTAAGGGTAAGAGAGCCTTAGAGAACAGGTGGATCTTCGGGGTGAAGCAAGAGAGCAATTCTACATCTACCGGATATAAAGCCGGATTAGTGGTGAAAGGCTTTAGACAAAGAAAGGGTGTTGACTTCAATGAGATTTTCTCACCTGTGGTGAGGATGACATCTATCCGAACTGTGTTAAGTTTAGCTGCTACTCTTGATTTGGAAGTTGAGCGAGATGGATGTGAAGACAGACCTTCCTTCATGGTGATTTGGAGGAAGAGATTTACATGAAGCAACCGGATGGTTTTCTTGTTGAAGGCAAGGAAGACTATGTGTGTAGGCTACGAAAAAGCCTATATGGTTTGAAGCAAGCTCCAAGGCGAGTGGTATAAGAAGTTTGAGTCTCGTTATGTGTGAGCAAGGCTACAAGAAGACTACTTCGACCATTGTGTTTTTGTCGGGAAATTTTCTGAGAATGATTTCATTATCCTGTTGTTATATGTTGATGACATGCTTATTGTTGGAAAAGATGTTTCCAAAATTGACAAGGTTGAAGAAGCAACTCGGGCAAGTCATTTGCCATGAAAGACATGGGAGCTGCTAAGAAGATTCTTGGTATAAGTATCACTCGTGATAGAAAAGAGAAGAAACTTTGGCTATCACAGGAGCACTACATTCAGAAGGTATTGCAAAGATTCCAAATGGAGAATGCTAAGGTTGTAAGTACTCCTCTTGCTACTCATTTTAAGTTGAGTGTTAAACAAAGTCCTTCAAATGAAGTTGAGAAGATAGCTATGAGAAAAGTTCCTTATGCTTCTGCGGTGGGTAGTTTGATGTATGCAATGGTATGTACAAGGCCTGATATTGCACACGCTGTTGATACAGTTAGCAGATTTCTGTCAAATCCAGGTAGAGAGCATTGGAATGCTGTGAAATGGATTTTGAGGTATCTTCGTGGTACTAGAGGTTTGAGACTTTGTTTTGGAGGTGATAAGCCTACTTTGGTGGGTTACTCGGATTCGGATATGGCTCGGAGACATTGATTCCGGAAAGTCCACTTCAGTGCTATTTGATTCAGTTTGCAGGGGAGCTTTGGCTTGGCAATCAAAGTTGCAAAAGTGTGTGGCGTTGTCTACTACTGAGGCGGAATTCATTGCACTTACTCGAAGCATGCAAAGAGTTGTTATGGGTGAAGAAATTCTTGCAGGAGCTTGGTTTTGTGCAAGATAAATACTTGTTGTATTGTGACAGATCAAAGTACTATTCATCTTGGTAAGAATCCAACTTTTCATTCTAAATCCAAACATATTGATGTGAGGTATCATTGGATACGTGATGTTTTGGATGCTAAGTTGGTGGAACTAGCTAAAGTTCATACAGATGATAATGGTGCTGATATGATGACCAAGGCATTGCCAAGAGGAAAGTTTGAAGTTTGTTGTGAGATCGCTGGTTTGGCGGATATCTCCACATAGTCGTGAGGGGAGATTTGTTGGGTTATTGGGCTCCCTTCCTATGTGGAGAATAGGCCCAAATAGTGTGGTCCATTATGTCTCATTTGGGTAAAATGAGATGGGTCAGATTAGTAGAGGACAAGAGAGTCATTTGAAAAAAGACAAAAAGTCTAGTGAGAGAAAAAGAAAGAGAGAAAGTCATCTCCGCATAACCCTAAATCTGCACTGGTGTTTTCGTCGCTGTGAAGTCGTTCACCGTTGGATCGAGCTGATTTTTGGATAGTAGGTTCCAGACATATGGTTCTTCATTCTGACCGTTCGGATCGTCAATCGAAGGTCTAGATTGGGAGAAATTGGTCCCGCACCAGCAGCCCTGTTTTGGAGATTTTTCATCTTCTTTGTTTCTCTTTTGTAAGCATTTGTGCTTAGTTAATTCTGCTTATTGAAAATACCTTTTGGTATTATTATTGGAGACTCTTGTGTACCCCATTATTGATCATAGTGGATTTTTCTTTGGTCTGGACGACTCGTGGTTTTTACCCTTGCATTGAGGGGTTTTCCACGTTAAAATTGTTGGTGTCTCTTTGTGCTTTGGATTCTATTTGTTTGGTGCTCCTCGCTGATTCTCGCAAGAAGGGGGATTGAATTTCCGCTGCATTATTACTCTTTGTCAAGTTGTTATATTTGTTTTTTGGCCTTTTTTTTTATACCATCAGAAATATCAGATTATTCTTCTTCTTTTGCTTCTTATACTACAGATAAAACTTCTATCAACTTATTTCCACTCCCTCTACCTTTCAAATATCGTCCAAAACCTCACCATTAAATTACAAAAGATTAATTTGGTCAAAGTTCAGAAATTTTTAGTACGTATATCAGAATCCACGGCATTCACATCTCTATGATCATCGAGTGAAATGGGGAATGACACTTCACAGTTCAAAAATTTAAACCCAATTCTTTCACACATAAGATCGTCGTTCAAACTACAAAATTGTACTCTCATGCTCTTACATAAACAAAAGTTCCTTGTCACGCAAATTAAGACACGGTCAACACGCTATTAACAAATTGGCAACAAAACTTCCAACGATACCGCCTCCATGTGTAAAGTAAGGCATTCATAGCATAAACTGAATTATGCATACAAGAAAATTTTAGAAGAAAATATTAACAAAAAATAAGTTAAAAGGAAATGGGTATGGTACCAGCCAGTGATCCAGGAAGCAAAAGGAGCCCATCTGGGTCCAGCAAGCTTAGCGCTCCAATAGTAAAGCCCACCGGAAGTCGGATAGGAGGAGCAGATCTCAGCCATTGAAAGCGCAACAGTCATGGTGAAAGCAGAGACAATAAACCAGCCATAAACGAAGGAAACAGTGCCACCATAGTTCAATCCGATGTTGTAAAGAGTAGTGACTCCGGTCAGCACCGAAATAATAGAAAACGAAAACGCAAAATTCGAAATCACCCTGCCATAGTACAATGGAGTTGAAGAAAAACTTGAATGAATGGAAAGAAGAGAGAGGAGGGAACATTACGAAAGGTCACGCTTGAGTTCTTGCTTGTAACCGAGTTCTTGAAGACGGACATGGCTGGAATCAAGTGGAACGTATCCTTCTGCAAGCGCATGAGAATGAGATCGGGCACTCGCACTACCCATGACGAAGCAAACACGAATGGAGGGAGCACCGTAACTACCTTAATAATATAAGTCTTTAATCATGTTCACATTTTATTTTTTTAATATAAAATATGTTTTAAAAGGTACTTCACTAAACAATATTTTTAATATTTAAATTTTTATTTTTTATGAAATATAATTTCTTTTTATGATTTAAAGACTTATAATCGTTAAATCTTGTGAATATCAACTACTTATATTAAATTATATTATGAATAGTCAAACGTTAAGGAAAGTTAAGTGGCGATTTCATATTTTAATTTCTGGGTGAATGAATGAATCGTGGATTCAGAAGGACAGTTGTTGAATGGGATTTGCATGCACAGCTACCACCTCCACTTCCAAATTTTCAACTTTCTATCTCTCTTTCCATTCACTCCCTGCAGTAAATATGACAAAAATAAATGTATGAAAAAATTATGTAAAAAAGTCAAATTTACGTATATTTATCGTATCAGCAATGATGTATGAGTTGAAAATTTTAACCACCTTCTACCTTTATGCATTTGATTTAGTTCATCATTCAAACTTATAAATCCTATTTTTGGATAATCCCCACCCCTAAACTTACACTGTTTATCTATAATAATATTACCTTTCTCACTCTCTCATACCAATCATAATAATATTCTCTTCTATTTTCATAACATTTTTTCACCACATAAAATTTTCTTCATAAAGTAAATCATTAAAAATAAAATACAACATTGTCTAGCTAAATTATTTTATTTAGATGAACACCTTTTTTTTTTCTAGTTTAGAAATTATGTTCTATGCTTATATTTTATTGAGCGAAATTCAATTCTTTAACTTAGAAAAATATCAAAACTCAAACTTCACCAAAAGATAAATCCAAAATGTAAAACATTTCAAATTCAATTTAAATGAACATAACATTCCCAATTCAATAAGTTATCAATTTAACACGTATAAATATCAAACTAAAACTATTTCAACTAGATCTAACATTATTAGTAATTTTTGGGTTATATATATAATTTTAAATGAGTTAAAAATCATTATTAATTTGATATCAAAATTATAAGGTGGTATGTGAATATTAATTTTGTGATTAAGAATATAATTATCATGAAAAGATATTGTGTAGATAATATAAATAATATTATTATTTGAGGAGAGATCAAATTAGAAATATTATATTTGAAATGAATCTCGTAGAAGTTGCATAGATTATTTATAAAAAAGTATTGCATTCTTATTCTTTTCTCTTCACCCGTCTGTCCGGAGAGCAAACCAAAAAGAACCTAAGATCCTCTAAATTTGAAAGTTCATACCACGGTTAATCTCATACCCTTTATCATTTTTAACCACAAATTCAAGTAGGATTTCACATTTTATTTTTATCATGAATTGGGATAAGATTGTAAAAATAAATTTAGTCCGATAGAATATAGATAAGAATAAATTAAAAAGTTTATAACTTATATTTAATTAAATTTATTTTAATGTGACGTATTTAACTTATAGTTTATATAAATTTAATTTAATATATAATTATAAATTAGTTTATTATTTTTTAAATAAAATTAAGGGAATATTATTTTATTAATATATATATATATATATATATATATATATATAATGATGATAAATTATTAAAAAAAATAATGATGATAATAAAAATTAAAATTGAATAGATTCTTTTAATTTATATATTAAATAATTAAATAAATTTATTTTTATTAATATACTTGTTTTAATCCATTTATTATTATCATTATTTTTATTTAAATATTTTTTTTACGTTTTTGATTTGGTATAATTGATCGGTTAATCTATAAATCTATAAGCATTTGGTTAAAAATTATGATATATTTTTTTTCTAATTATAAGGTAAAGTCATGAATTCAACTACTCTAAATTGAATATTTAACAAATATGAGATTAAGAATTAATATATAATTGTACCGTGATTTCTGCATTGTATAGATAAAAGTATATGATTAGACACAAACATTATTTGTTAAAAAAAAAGTCCAACAAAAACATGACACCAATTTAATCCCAAACAAGTCTATCATCAAGATTAGCCAACTAATATACTCAATCAAATAATTTCTCATTCTATCCATCCAATAATATTCCGTCAAAAACATGTCATTACTATTTTTTTTAAACACTGTCACGATCAATATCATTTCAACCTTTTAAACTGTTCACTCGTTTACATTCTGTAACAATACAACTCTAACTTACCACGATAACAACCCAAACCCATATTATTGAAGCAAATATCGTTTAGAAGCAAATAACAGAATCATCATATTTTGGTTTCTTGTTTCAAGACTCATAACCCAAACCCTACACAAATCTTTATTAGTATTTTTCGTTATAAGTCAAAATATAATTAACTTCGAACTTTTCTTATAAGGGGATTTAGGCTTAGAGAGAAGGAAAAATCAATTACAGCTAGAGAATTGCTTTAGTTGTTGCAGTGAGAAAAAAAAGTAAAGAAAAACAAGAATGAACACGGTCCCAGAAAAAACCATTACCAATTAAAATTTTTACAAATTGACTTACAATGGATTGCCTCACCTCATCATCAACCCCTTTTTGGAGATGGCGGGTTAAGGTATTAAATTTGCACAAGCCAATAATAATAGTTGAGTGGCTATGTGAAAAGATTCCTAGGTATATGTACATGGGAGATCCCAATAAATTCTTTACCTTTAAAGAAGCAAAGAAAAGGTTAGAAAGTCACATTATTGAATTAATAAATTGTTATTTTTTTTTTATACTTACCGATTTAAGGTGTAATTTATATTTTTATTTGGGATATGTATATATATATATATATATATATATATATATATATATATATATATTAAAATTGGTATGTATAAAAAAATAGACATGGTCTGTATTTAATTATTTACATAATGTAAAATTATTTTATAAATAATTTTAATATTATTTTAAATAATCTCGCTTTTTACTCTCTTTCTCACAATTTTTCACCACCTCAAATTCATCCAAATCCGAACAACAGCTATAGAAATATAAAGAAAAATCAATTTCAAACAAGGATTATAAAAATAATGAAATTGAAATAAGTTTATGTGCACAATTTCACTTTTTTATATGTTGGTAATTGGGCCTTTAAACCAACGGCGACCACTGATAATCCAGTAAGAAACTACAAGAACAAGCAAAATTCCAACAGCAACAGGAGTGTAGTTAAGGGTCTGTCCGGTTACTGGGTAGGAAACAGGCAACGAGAAGAGTATGGAAATGGTCAGCACCCAAAGAACAGCAACCCAGCCCACAATGACTCCGTAGCGGCCCAAGTTGAAAGGCCCAGGAACGAAATGCTTTTGTGCCAAGGTCACCCTAAAGAATATTGGAAAGGCATAGGCAATATAGAGACCAATGGTCGCTATGGACACCATGGCCTGAAATGCCACCATGCTTCCAAGAGACTGCAATATATTTACATTTCAGTAAATACCTCGGTAAAAATAAAATGATTCACAGCTATGGCTAGTTGTATTATTCCACTTTTCAACACAGCAGAGAAACCAAAATTTGCAGCTTATATAGTATATATCACATACCGTTAATGCCATGCAAAATGATATACACACAGAAAGCCAGACTGCATAGATGGGAACCTCCTGCTTGTTAACTTGGTGCCATAATGATGACAATGGCATGGCCCCATCTCTAGAGAAAGCATAAGCCATCCTGGACAATGTTTAAGCATGTCATACTATATTCACATGTAAGTGTTAGTAGAGATATTAAATCCCTGTCATGGAAAGCAAACTAAGGGTTGGCACGTTTACCTTGAATTGCTGGTAACTGAACTCATACCACAGAAGAATATGGCAACAGCAACAATTACTAAGCAAATAATACCCCCAGTTCCATGGCCATATCTGTTCTTGAATGCTAGATAAAATACTTCGGCAATGGCATACCCACCAGCATCATTAGCTTCACTCAAAAGGCTAGCGATGTCGGTGACTGCAAAGGTAATGCCTAGTATGTAAAACCATCCAACAACAATGGATATCCCAACAGCGCTGATAATTCCTTTCGGTCCATTTTTATCAGCATCCCTGGTTTCCTCTGTCTGCAAATATAAGTCACAGTAAACAGAAAGTCTTGGTCTAGATCATTTAGGAACTTCAATTCGTCAATGGAAATGAAGAGCATACAATTTAAAAAAGAAAAATCGAATTGAAAGAGAAATCTTGTAATAATAGAGCTCATACGAATCAATTCATGGAAAAAATAACCACCAACTCATGTTACTACATTTAGACCTAGTCAGAAAACTGACCCTTCTAAGTTATATAAACTCTAATCGAACCTTATCTTATCATTTAGATTTTGTGCCTAACTCATCCTTCAAAACCCATGTTATAAAGTGAGGGTACACAAGTTCCCTAAGCTGCAAGCATTGTCTTTAGTTAAACTTGGTTTTTCCCAAAAGGAAGAAAAAGAGCAGAAAAGGTTTACCATATGAGCCGATGCATCATACCCAGTCAGGGTATACTGACTCATTAGAAGTCCCAAAAGAAATATGTAAGGTTTGTTGCTGATTCCATTCCCATTTTCAGCATTGAAATGAGTGAAAACAAACTTGGCACTTGCTCTTTCCGTTGCAACGGATGGAATCACAATCGTAAGTACAAAAACACCTAAAATTTGGCAATTCCAATTCGAGATTCAGATAGGACTGCCAAAGAAAACTGAATGCAGAAAACAATAAATCAAACAGAAAATTGCTTCATACCTAACAAATTCCAAATAGCTGCCAGCTGTCCCAAGAATGACAACAATGAGATAGGAAGGCTGTTTATTATACCGTGTAAGAGCAAGATTCCCCCATGGAGTGCAATCACTACATATTTAGATGCCTCATATCCACCACCATTTTTCCCACCAGTACTAAGCAGAATAATAACCTGAATCAGTGTTGCAAGTGAAAAATCTACACTTGTAGTCACTGC